TCACTGCTTACGGCAGCACTGACGAGCCGCGCAGCCTCACAACGACTGTCTGAGGAGTGACAGCCAGGATCCTGCTGCTCAGCAACACACACACGCATATGCTGAAATCTGCACACACACACACACACACACACACACACACACACACACACACACACACACACACACACACACACACACACACACACACACACACACTTCAAATGTATTCCAGGACAAGCACACAAACAACATCTCTTTTTGTCAAGCATGGACAACGCAACCACAACACAGCACACATTCACACACACAAACTTGTCTCCGATCCCCCAAAGCTTCAAATAACAAAAAAAAAACGCAGAGCCAGCTGCCATAGTCCGGCCCTCAGACAAGAGGGTAAGCGAGAAAGAGAGAGAGTGCCCCCCCCCCACACACACACACAGGAGACACGAGGATGCTAAAAGTGAGGGCCTGTTACTTATTCATGTCTCTGCTGAGAACGGGAAGCCTGTCGGTGTCAAAACACTCTTTTCTTGACAGTAAAGCCACGAGCATGCGCTCATCTATGTTGCATGACAGGAGGGTATTTTTAGAGAGGGGCTTTTAGCCAAGGCTGAATTTGCCATTGTTTTAAAATGGACTGATCAGAAGGCGGATCTGAGCTTCTGTTGTTCAGCTGCTCTGGGGCAGATGGTTAGTTTTAGAAAATGTATTCTTAACCTTACTGCACCAATGACAGAACCATATGGAATATTATCACTGGAGCAGTTTGGAAGAAGGTAGGCACTTTCAAAAAATACTTGGCAGGTGATTGGATGAACCATCTATCATGTACGAACTTCAGATCAATACACCATATACCTGTGTTCTTTGCACAAATCAAAAAGATCACCAAAAGTAATTATGTGTCACACTTACGACCATGAATACTGGTTGTTAAAAGAATGGACTCTATATTGATGATAAAGGCACTTAAATTTACCTTGACTTTTTTTCCTCTACCTTCCAAGCAAACCACCTACAGAAACATAATGTGTCACTTCCTGTACAGCTGAGCATTTTACCGAGTGACATGGACACCCCGATCTGATCAAGAAATGGAGATCAGCGTGATGTAACACCACCTATAGTCACGTCAAGCACATATCTCGTGTACAGCTTACTGCGGCAAGCAGAAGCCCACACTGTTCTAGCCCCAGATGGTCTCAGTCACCTGCTGGCCGTGAGTCTCAATCTGATGAGTCATTTAGATGAATCTCCTCAGGGGCTGTGTTGTTTTGGGGTAAAGCTGCGATGGGCAGCAGCCAGGGGAGTCGTCATGGACGGAGAAAAGCATGAAGCATAATGAGCCTCATGGGAGCTCAGTTTATGTACACAGACAAATTCCCGCGTTCTACCTTCCAGGAACTCTCTGTTACTGCCAGTGTGCCGGCAGGACTGGAGAAGGGTTGCAAGTGTGTGTTTATGCTTGATTGAGGAGGTGCATTATAAAAAAGTGTGTGTGTGGTTATGTGTGAGTACTTTCCCTAATATTGGTCATAATTGAGAGGAAATCCAAGAAGTAGGGAGTTATATTAATGTTCAGTAATACTTTACAATACTTAAATATAAGTATAAATAAATGTATAAATACTTTTACAGATAGACAAATAATTTATCCCAAACTATACACTAACAGTCCAACTCAGTATACAGCTATATATCAATCAATCATGTGTAACACAAAGCCCTGTCTTCTACTTCTACAGACGTAGACACACCGTATCTCACACCAATATTTCCAAGGGCATGACTGCAGAAAATACTTAATATACATTTTACATTTACATTTACTTACTTAATTTACATCAATGCATAAAGTCAGACTGGTTGGTTGGTTTTGAAGAGATTCTTCTTTGATATTTCTGAAGTTCAACAATCAGGGACAAACATATTGTGCATGGAAGAAGACTTCAAAGACCTATTTCTCCACAGCAAACCATGGGCCACTTTAACTGTCTAAAGGCCAGTCTTAATTTTCCTCATAGATTAGTCTAGAGCAAAAAAAAGTTACCTGAACTACAACCACGCTAACATGGATCTAAGAAGCATGTTTCCATGGCATAATCAGGGAAACTTGTTGACTGGTGGCACTGACTGACAAAAAAAACAGCCACAGCCTCCCAGCCATCTGGGGATTGGTACGACGTTCAAGGTGGTTTTCATTTGAAAGAGACATTTCATTATGAGCAAACACAGAATTATTAACTACAACTTTATCAGAAATTCACTTCACCAAGTGAAGATGCACTATAACAGCCTATCTACAGCTTTTTTCCCCCTAAAATCAACCACTTACTGCACTGTTCCTTGTATTCCTCCAACACTTTCTCTTGGATAAAGGAGACAAAACAAAGCAGTTATTGAGCAGACTATGATGCTTCCTGGCAGTTACAGAAGCAGTAGAAAAATGTGCTGAAAGTGTTCACTTCTTATTCTGGTTAGTTTACAGTGCTCATAAAAAAAAGGCACATTTGATATTAGGCAGGAGACTCACTTACAGTCTGTGAATAAATGCTATGCTGGTGTTTGTCGTCCCTAGAATGCCAGCATGTGCATTTGAGGAGATGAAAAGTTCTTCAAAGTCAGCGAACATATTGTTTGAACTTGGGCCTTATCCACTACTCATTTCACTTAAAGCCAGGGGGTTATGTGGGAAAGAAGACGAATGCTTTGGGATAAAGAAGGAACCAATCATGGGAGGCAGATCCTGTCCTACGGAGGGAGCTAAAGCCGGGCTGAGGTGTGAGACCCGGTGAGCAATCGGCTTTGGAAATGAATTTCCCCCCTGAGCTTTGTCGTATGTCAGTGGGAAGTGACAGCTCAGCTTCTGACAATCACACATGATTGAGGGAGGCAGGGGAAGCATTAAAGGTGTGTGTACTTTTGTGTGTACATTCATACAGGTTTGTGAGGGAGAATGGAGGAAGGAAAGAAGGGAAAACAGGGTTCCAGAGTTCAGATTCTGATACAATTGGGAGTTTCTTGCCTGCAGGCATCTTAAGAGGAAGCAGGCATCAATATTTCCTCATCGCCCCAGAGGCCCAAAGGGTTAACACAGACTTTAGCTGAGAAAAGCTGCAATTCTTTTTTTTTTTAATTTATGTCTAAGCAAGGTGAGAGACACTTTAGGCAAAATATTCAAATACAGAGATAAAACACATGCAGGGTGAAGCTAAGACTTGGCAAATGGAAGAGACAGTTCACAGGGTTCATATTTATTCTTATCCTATCCATCCCTTTGCCTGAGTGTCAAAGTCTGACAGGCAGATCAGGCAGAGACTGACAGGGGGGCAGGTTAATCGCCTATTCTGAACCTCAGGTCAGCTCTAGCGTGTTTTGACGCTCGGTTGATCACAGATATAATCGGACTCGCCCCTGGCCGACTGGCTTGACTGTCTGTTGAGACCGTAACCCAGACAGAGCAGGATTGTCTGGGCTGTGAATGTATTGGATTATATAGATGAGCAGCAAAAACGAAGACACAGACTGGGCCGGAAGCAAAACATCATTCCTTCTAGTCGTACTGTTGAAATTGACCTTATTTAAGCCTGCACACTGAACACATGTACGTTTCCTTGAACTAAAGTCCCAACACAAAATAATCTTAATATTTAACAACATAATGTGGCTTTATGTGTATACTTTTCAGAGTTACTATAATTAGTTGAGCGCTGTCGGGTTGGCTTGGAGTGTCTTTAACAACACTTTACTAATCTAAAGCATTATAACAAAAGCCAGCTAATTCCTGAGAGCCATATCTGATTGCTTTTTCAAGCCTCCCACTCCTCTAAACACTGCCACTCATTAAAGTCTTGGCAGAAGTTTGAAGTTGCGACGCTAGGAAATGTCACTGCATCAGTCGATTCCCAGCAGCCTCTCTGAGGGCCTGTCATCACAATCTTAGCTTGACAGTTTTAAATCGATAGCACGCCTCTCCTTTTCACCTCATTTAGTCTTGGATGTCCCTGAAGTGTAGGGGGGTGGGGGGTACCGTGACAATCACCTCTGAAGGACGTATTTCCTACTTTTTACCTGAGGCTTTATGTTTTTTATATGAGCAGATTAGACATGTTTGGTGTAAAGCAGATACTGTACTTCTGCTGAAAGCTCTTCACCCATGTCAACTTTTCAGCACTGAATCATTTCCCCTCTCTCATATCTTGTTTTTGTACCAGCATAACCTTGTATCTTCAACTGAAAAAAGAAAAATACAACTAAATTTTTTCTTATCTACTGTTTCTTCTCCACCATATGAATAACATCAGACGCTCTGGTACTGACCCCTGTTCACCTCATGATTAGTTCTGTGTAATGTCAGTGCTTTAAAGCTATTTTTACAGAGATTAGCAGATATTCACAAAATCCTCTAGGGAAGTGAAGGGGGCAAAGGTTTTACATGGTGCAAGTTAGAAATATATAAAAAAAAAGCCATACAGAGTTCATGTCGTCATAGATTATCCTACTTCTGCTTGTTTTCATGCTAGCTATGTAGCAGTCACATAATGAATGCTTTATCGGGCAGTTACAACCACTCTAAGAGGAAATGTGTGCAGTTTGTGCTGGAAAGTCAATGCAACCTTTCTGCCATTCTTACCACAGCGCACTGCTTTTCTCACGCACATGCATCACCGGCTGCAGAGCACAGTCTGGTGGATTTGCCCTTGCAAACATCCACCTGGCTTCAGCTGAAAGTGAATGGCAACAAGCAAAGCCACTGAAGCTTACACAGTCGAACTTACAGCAGGGTGCTCTGGAGAGGAACAGGATCAGCAAAATGCCAAAAAACTCCAAACTGGAATGTGAAACGTAGATGTTGTATGCAAATGTGGGTATTTAACAATGTGCTTTCATGTATCCGGTGTGTGCTTGCATGAATCTCAAAACTGAGGAATCTCAAGTAGACCTGAGGTTTGCACCTGTATCAATCACACATCAGCGAAGCACGCAGCAACCGTATGATTGACAGACTCCATCCTTACCTGTCTATGTCGCCCTGCACCTCTTTGCTCCCTCTCTGGGATATTTCTCGAGAAGAAGCCACGTCTGAGCCTCGGCCTGCGTTCCGCGCATACAGATGAAGGCCGCCGTCTGTAAGGTACCTGTGAGAGGAGACTCAATTAGACGAAGTAGATGTCTGACCTTAGTTTGGCATAAAATGTTATTTTTAGTTATTTAGTATTTTTTTATGTTCTTGATTAAAAGCAACATATTATTTCAACTGAACCAGCAGAGAAAATACAGTGACTTCATTGATACTCTGATTAATGAGCACTGTTTAGACTGTGTGTGTTTTTTGTGAACTCATAAACACGACACTTGTTTAAATGAGTTTCTATATCTGTGTATGAGACAGTGAGTAAGTGGTAGGATTTGAGGCTTGAAAGCTATCAGACACGGCTGATAGGACATGGAGATCATTAGTGTTGAGCTAATTAAGACAATAATTCAGCTAATCACCTTTCCCTCCCGACGTGTTGTTACGTTTTCTGTTCCGACATGTCTTTAATCCTACGGATGCTTTACTCCATCACTGCTCGCTCAACTTCCCCTCACAGTCCGACCGGCCCCCAAAACTCTTTTTGGGGAAATCTGAAGTGCATGGATGCCCAGTGGGAGTGTGTGTTGGTGGGGGTGTGTGTGGAATGTGAATTTCTTTGTCAACACACCTCCCACTTGCTGAAGGCATTTACTGCTATTGAATGAAGGTCAGAAGCCCACACACACGTTGCGGTGATGTTTTGTGGGAGACACTGACTTATCTTCTTTCACTCAGGTAATCTGTCAGTGTATTGAGGTGCCCTCAAGGTTGCCTGGAAATGTATTATTTGAGCCTTCCTTTTCATGGTATAGCAAACCTATGACAGCCTTGGTGGGCGTCAGCAGGCTATTTGTATTAATGTACACAGGAAGATAGGTAAGGCCTTGATGGCTGTATGAATAAACAGCTAACTGTGAATTTCAGAGACCCAGCATGCGTTGCGATGTTGAATGGAAATGATCCTTCACAAAACCTTTGAAGTATCTTAAGTAGTATAAATGATGTAAAAGGCCAATCTATATTAAGGCTGTCTTCTGCTTCAGCTTACAAGTCTCACAAAATGTCATGAACATGAGCTGGTTTTAAATGTGTTCAGTGCATAAAAAGGCACGTTTCTATCCCATAAAGATCGCATGTAAGAGATAACTGGAACTTCTGGTGTTCTTTCACACTCAGCACAGTAAAAACCAACCATACCAAATGCTTGTGGGTGTCTAAAGCAAACACCAGTCTTAAATGAGTTTTAGGTAGATTTCTAAAACCTAACTATTAGCCAAAGGGTCCACATGGAATTGGTATTTCGTTCTGCTCTGTGGTCCAAGAATATAGTTTGAATATTTTTCATTTCAGTTCATGGCTGTTTCACAAATAAATTCTCTGACTGACAGTTGGTGGCACATAGCAAAACGCTAACATAGAACAAGACTACTAGCAAGCAAAAGTGCATGTAAACGATTTAAAGGGACATTGTGTAGGAATTTCTCCCATCTAGCGGTCAAATTGTATTTTGCAATCAAATGAATAGTGCTCTGTAGTGCCTCGCGTTTTCAAATGCGTATTGCAACATGGTAGCTGTTATGTACCAAGAAGCCTACCTGTCGAGGAGAAAGCAGGCAACTTCAGCGTCCCTTTGAAAGTCTTTCTCCTTCATTATCTCTTTCCACCTGGGAAAAGCTACCCCGATTATTACCATCGTTTTTTGTATTTGCCGGTCACGTTGCCTTTTTAATTCCCTTTTTCGCTTTTTTGGCGACGAGGATTCCTTCTCCTGTGGCTCGGCATAAGTATGATCCTCCATTATGAACTAAAGTGCAGTGCAGACTTTCAAATGTGCCGGGGCAGTGACAAGCGCCTCTCACTGATCTCCTTCTCTGTTATAGCTGGTTTCAGTCACGTGACGCTGGCTCTGAACGAAAAAGCGTTGTGGATTAGCTAGACAGGTAGGCTAGTGCTTAATGTCCCTCTCGGCGATTATAGTTTTTCCAAATGGCGGAACGACATGGAAGCCTCCATGGACTTGCCCGTCCAATGTATATACAGATAAGAAATTCTTCGCTTACAAGGATAAGTCAGATCATTGGCAGAGGTAATTTTACACCAATGAGGACACATTTATGATTGAAGACATTGATTTTAGCTAATAAAATACTTAAAACACTACACAATGTCCCTTTAAAATATTCACAAAAATCGTCCTTGCAAATGGAGGACATGCACTAAACATGTTTGTTAGGCCTCAGGAATACACAAAATTTATTTTGGTGAGTAACATTGAATGTAAAGATAACTTAATTTAACAGGAAACCTTTAACACAGGGTAAGACTATTTTCAGGCATGATCAGCTGAGAAACACAAATTGCTGATTTCAGTGAATATACCTATAATTTATGTGGCCAAATTATTGATTAGACATTTAAAGCAGGAACTCGTAATTAGTCAGTGCATCAGAGGAAGCCATCATGCTTAGCACTAGTCATCCTACCCGCTGGTGAGCTCATCCATCCGTCCGTTCTTCCCTAGGATGTCCCCATCACTCATGTACCCTGCCACCTCCATCTGCTTCCCTCCTTCCAGCCCTCCTCCTCCCTTCTCCCCCTGCTCCGCCCCCCTCGCCCCTGCTGCCGCCGCTGCTCGCCTCAGGGGGGTGCTGAACACAAACCTGGAGGGGTCCGAGTGCCCGCTGTAGCGCCCTGTGGTGGTGCCAGCACTCGTCGTGGTCGCCCTGGGAGCAGCGTAGCTGCTGGGCATTGAGGGGGCATCGCCTGCCTGAAGACGCGGGGTTTGTGATTGGCCCAGGCGCCAGGCCATGGGGGAGGAGCGTGTGGTGAGGGCTGGTAGACTCCGCCCATTGACCTCAGTGGTTACTGTGGTGTCGAAGGTTGTTTCTAGAGTACTGTAGAGACACAGGTGTAGAGAGAGAAAATAAGGGAATTAATTCTGACTCTTGATACAGCAAAAACTGATCAGCGTGGTATTTTCCGACAGTTGCTAACCCTTCTTAAAGGCTCAGTAAAGGGTCTTGGGAAAAGTGCCTCTAATGGACCAAAATCTCAAGACACTGAAGCCATCATATTGAATGCACTCCTGTGTGAAGGGCAAATCATTCAGGTGAAAAGATCAGTCATATTTTACATCAGTTGAGTGCCACTCAAGTCACACACGGCTCCTTCTAACATTGCTTATATGTGTGTGTGTGACCTTCCTAAAGTGCTGTTTCTTCCAGTGTGTTAACTTGTGAAGGCTCCCATGAGAACATATGTCAGACCATCATGGTACATCACAGAGTTGGGGAGAGAGAGAGAGAGAGAGGGAGGGGTTGCTAACAAAAAGTAAATCTGAAATAAAATCTGAAACAGGGGCATTGGCACCAGAAATAAATAAACCCCCAGAATGTCAGAAAAAAGTTCATGTAACATTAAACAAAAACTGCTAAAATACAATGAGATTCACTTAGGAACATACAACAAAAAAAACTGACAACAACCCTCACAAAATCTTTAAATCAGGTTTTCTAAATTCTTATATCACCATTAGCAAATAAACAGTCAAGTGAAAATGCGTCTAGAGGAAGAGAGATCTTGTGTAGGAGAGAGAAATGTGTCAGTGTGAGAACAAGTGAAATGTTAGCAAATAAAAGGAACCAAGACGAGGAATGAAACCTGATGGAGGGAGACAAAGAAGACTGACTCACTATCCTGACTATTCACCATTAGCCCTGGAACAACCACTGCAGCCTATTTCTTTCTCTAATGATGTGAATGAAGGATCTGAACATGTCAGCTACTGTACAGCACACACCTCTCATCTTCACACATCTCATCAAATGAGGCCTTGCTAGATTTTTTTTTTTTTAAACAAAAAAAAGCAAAAATCTCTAATAGATTCTTCAAATTTGCAACAGCATGATAGACGCGTAGCGAGTGAGCTAACAGTAATAATATATTCATGGCCACACACAGACCAGACCCTGCAACTTGATGTATCTGTGCACAGAGAGCAGAGCATGGCAACTGCAGCAGTGGCACCTAGCTTGAGCTCTCTCTGCTGGGAAAAAGAGTGCACTACATTCACACAATGACGGACAGAACAAACCTGACACACAACCACACAGCTGCTCTGATTTGTGTCTTTTAAGGATAAGTTGCTAATGTGTATTCTAGTCACAAACATCCCTGTGTAAACAAAATAATGGCGTCTTGTGTTGTATATAATATCCCTGTATATTGCCATGGAAACTAGACTATATAGACATAACAAGACATATAGCAAAAATGGAGACAGAATTTAGGCTTTACATCTGCTTGCTGGCACGGATGCTAAATATAAAATATCATATCATATTTAGAGATAGAGAAGGATAAGATGCTTGTATGGTAATACAACACTTCATGTGTGCTAGTACTCTACTACTTGATTTACAGATGCGGCCAACACAAAAACACACAATTCACTGCACAACTGCTGTAATATGCTTTTGAACAGAAATGTATCTGATGATGCAGCTGAAGTGGACGGTAGTTGGATGTGTGGGATGAGATGCCTGCCTCTGCATGCTGGCCTTCATTAGGTGACAAAAGCAATGGCATCTTAAAGCAGTGTCTCACACATAGCAGTGAGAGAGGTGTGACATCAGCCTTGTGTGTGTGTGTGTGTGTTGGGTGAGAAAGGGCAGAACACTGCACCCCTGTGATGCCAAGGGCCGACATGAGAGGGACAGTGATGCCAGCCATATTCACAACACATCTCCGTCAACACCTCCTGAGATTAACACACACACACACGTGCACAAAGACACACACAGTGCCATGTCAGAGTGCAGTCAAGCCGAATGAAACAAACAAACACATTTTTAAAAAACCCAGCTACTTATCTGACAAGCAATCTCAGCTGAATATGGAAATACGGATATCAATTTGCCACGGCATAGAAATCAAAATCATTTAACCATTCGTACACAATGTAGCTTGCTAAATCAGCTTATCTTTATCTCCAGGCAGCAGAGAGAAAAAAAGACTGATAAACTGAGGGAGACTGTGTGTGTGTGTGTGTGTGTGTGTGTGTGTGTGTGTGTGTGTGTGTGTGTGTGTGTGTGTGTGTGTAGGTGTTGAGATAAATGAGCATGCAAACTGAAGGATATGGCTGAGCAGCAAGTACAGTAAAGGTGCTGAGATGTTTCACACATCTTACCTACCACATGTGAACACACAGGTTCAATTAAAAAACACGATATAATGCATTCTAAAATGTATGATACATCAACATATAATTATGAAATGAACTGTGATCACATACGTATAATTACCAAGAATCATTGGTAGTCTCACAATAATATTGTGAATGTCATTATTTCTCAAAATTAAGACCACATTTCCCATAAACCCTACTGCTTTTTGAGGATCTTTGCTTCATCATACTATCTGGTATAAAGCAGAACAAAAAAACTAAATAAATCTTAACAGAGGGAGACTACATTGTGTTTAGCCAGGAGCTCAGCAGGAGAAGAATCCATGTTGACAGCAGGGGATTGGTTATTGCTGAGCAATGCTTAATATAAATACACTGAACTTTCTCTCACTGCTGCTAATGAGGTCTGAGGGTTTAACAGTTAAACATGAATTTCTTGCAGAGGTTCATTCACTGATCTGGGTAAAGATGTAATTCTGCAGCACCGCTTCAAAGGCTCTCCACATTATGTCATGTGCAATAGTCTCCTGCAGTATTTAGCAGTTCTTTTTCCTTTCTTGTAACCATACAGTATAGTTCTGTTACTCATAACCATAGATCCCATTTTAATACACACACAGAACAAATCACATTCATCCCTGTATGGGAAGCTGGTATGAACCTGAATGCACTCTGCATCATAAACTGAGAGTTACTGTAAATATCAACAAACACAGTAAATGGCTGTATCCAAAATCTCTCCCTTGTTTACTTATTTACAACTCTATACATGATACACGTGAATCTTGACTCCATAGTGAACAGTAAACTGAGCTTTCGGGTACTTACAGCAAGAATCATCATTTTACAGCATGGTTGCACAACGGTAATTCTCACATCACACTGCAATGTGGAATAACAGAAATATAAACTATATAGTGTGTTATATATTTTGTGTTAGCCATTAGGGAGTGATTTTTGACACAGGATTATATTCTACTGAGTTTTATTAGTTTATATATTAAACATGAAGACCCAATTTTCAATCATTAAAAAAGTTTTTCTTTTGTTAGCCTAAACGTTGACATAAATTGGTGTAAAGGACAAACTTAGTAAGCTGTATTTGGCAAGATGTCAGTTAGGGGTGTTACAATATGCAGACTATGATAACCGTGATATTTAAAAGATTAGATGTTGATATCATATATAATACACATATGATAATATTGTGTAAATAATCAAGCATCACATAATTTGAGTGTAGTTCATTTGCCAAAAAAAAAAAAAAAAAAACAATGATTTTGAATTACAACCGTTCTTTTCAGCTTTTCTATAGTTATCGCGCTAATATTGTTATCATGAAGTCTTTTGGCCACAATAATCGTGTTCTGATATTGTGAAAGCCCACATTTTTCTGTAACTGTAAACTGTACCTATTCAACACTCTGCAAGTTGTCAGTTGTAGGTAGAGATCTGGTTTCATGACCTGAAGAATCTACAATATTAAGATTTTAAAATGGTTGTGTAATAAGTTAGAAAAAACTTCCAAAAAATTTCCATTTTTGAGTAAGATGCATGTTAATATAAACTATTTTACAAGGAGAATAAATAGAGAAAGAAGTATTGTTATGTAGCTAAGTTAAATGTCATCACTGGATATTTCACAACAATAAAGTATTTCAGACTCATAGAACCTACGGTATATATCCAATTTATACACTTTGTAACTTCGTAACTCATGCTTGGTGGGTTACACTTTTAATGCTCTCCAGCGTTTTAGCGCGGACAGTACTGGCATTTGATCCAACATTCCCACTGCCTTGTTTGGTATGCATGTCTCTATGTGGGTCTGAATCTGTATCAATATGTGGTGCAGTATGAGGATGGCATTGGTACTGGCAGATGTTAAACCCTGCAATTCAGAGCAATTGGTTCTTCAATCTGGACCCTGAGAGAGGGTCCCCGCCTCACCGCCAACACAACCATCTTTCACACACACATACACACACACACACACACACACACACCAGTCAGAACGGCCAAGTCATTTTCTATCGCCCATCATAGACTGAAAACTCATCTTGTCAAGAATTGCCTCGTATTACCTTCCTGCAGCTGAATCGTGTCACTTCTCCACTCACTCTTACTTCCCTCACAAGAACATTGTCAGGGATTGAAAAGTGTCTCCGGCTTTGACCCCTCATTACTCTTAAGAACTTGTCATTTTGATGTTTTAGGACTTTCACTTTTTCACTCCTACTGTACGGTTGCAATCACTGAAAATCGCTTGGTACTGAAGCGTCAGCTAAACTAACATTTAAGAAGAAAAAAGTCTGTCTCGCTTCAGAATCCCGTACATGCTCATAAATAGGACCAAGGGCTATCTCCTCACTTCCAAAGCAATGAATAATTTAGCCAGCCCCGCTCTCTCTGTGTTCCTAATGTAAACACAAAATAAACAAACCCGACCGCGTGAAGCTATTATGCTCAAAATGTCATCCGGCGGTTGCTGAATCCCCATGGGACTAGACAGAGATCCCTCAGGCCCTAGCAGACCGGGAGACAAGACGAGGGGAGATTTCCCTTTACTGTTTGCTGTGCCAGGTTTGTCCTTGAAGTTCACAGCATTTCTTTACACATAGAGCTGCTACTTCTCCCTTCAAATGTCAATCAATACCATTTTTTATTGTCTGGCTAGAAAAAAAAAACACTGAAGGGAAATTAAGTGTTTTGATCAATACAGACCGTCTGTGGAAGCCCCAAAACGCATCTGGCTCTCAGAGGAACGTTGTGGGTGTGAGCTGAGCTGTCATAATGGCTGCAGCATCAAAGTAGCAAGGTCAGTCCAATGAGAAAGGGGCACGGTTTCAGGGCCCATGAAACTGTAGCTTAACCGCATACAGCTTTATCAGCCAGGTCAGTAATTTTAGGTAACATTAGCTGCCACCAGCTCCCAGGCAAGCTGCACCTCGCCGGGGACTGCTCTAAGTATTTCAGCTTCAGTCACTTGAGATTTCATAATGCATGTGGAACTTCTGGGAGCAAAGTGTTTATGGAGCAGGGAAATGTAGCAGAGAGACCCAGCACATAATGATGCAAAACTAATGGTGCAAAGAGCAGATATTGGTGAGTTACATAATCACCACAGTGGTATGTTTTATCTAACAAAGCAGTGAACTGAAGACTGTATAACAACAGGTGTACTTCTATCCTAAACCAAGCCAGCAGACCTGCTTTTCTAACCCACATTAATGCACAATGCCCAAACATGTTTTTCGCACTGGTCATGTGACAAGCAACAGCATCCAAATGTAACAGATGTCCCACATTTCACAGCAAACTCTAAGAGAAACTGTTTAATCAATTCTAATTTTGCTCCTTTTAATGCACCGAAGATGTGCCTGGTTTAGTCAATATTCCCATACACCTAATCTCCTCCATTAGTATAAAAAGAGCAAGCACAACCTAAATTACAGCAACAACCTTTCCATGTAAATGTGCAGCGGAGGAATGCGGAGCAGGTTGTGAGCAAAGGTCTGCGTGAGGCGTGGCCCTGTGGCTTTGTACTGTATGATGCGAGCAGGCAAACGGGGGAATGGGCTTTGCGGGGGGGACAAAGGACAACAAAGAAATTTAAAAATCCATTTAAAATTGAAAACTTATGAGGCGGCCTGGTGTTGTAAGGGTTGGGGTGCGGACCATGAATTGCAGAGTCCCTGGTTTGTGTCTGGTCAGGGACCTTTGATGCATGACGTGGCCCATCTCGATTACCTCTCTCAATACTGATAAAAGGCATAAAAATGACACCTAAATACTTTGATATCGAAAAAAGGGTGAATGGAAAACCTCTTGAATATGTAAAACTTCAAGCTATAACTCACTGATCAAAACTCAAACTCTGATCCCGCTTAAGATGAAATTTGAAAGAATCAATCACGCAAAGTCATTGGACATGTCCTCACAAATCTCCTTAAAACTTCTGCTCTTCTAATTCACTCAGTGTCACACAGAGCTAGGTTTTTTCGAGGTGAACACTTCTACCAGCACATATGGGAACAACTAATTTTGATGGCATAATGACGACAATGGTTTATTCTATCTGTGACAAGTAAAAAATAGTGTTGAGGAAAGAGGAAACCATGACGGTGGCTGTTGCTGTGCTAGTGGACAGCATTTTTCCTGCCTGTATGAACGGAGTATAAACAGTTACAGAGAGAGAATCCCAAAGAGAGAGACACAGCGACGAATATGACAGTCATGTCTGCTCGAGCGTAACAGTGATTAATTACTTAAGGTGCTTCAAAGCTTCATGGTGATTACAGCCATTTCTTATCCGGCAGAGAGATTAGGATGGCCTGGCCAGGCTTTTGTCATGGAGAGAATTGGTATGCGTACTCTGAGGCTATCCTTACATTCAGAAGATAAACATATTCAACAGCGGCGCACACTCAGAAGCCCACTCCCATATTTTTTCCATTAAATCTAATAGTTGATTTCAATGGTATTTCACCATATATGATGCTAATATGGATGCACAATGATGCATTTTGCACATATTTCACGCCGACTGTCCTTGAATGTCGTACGCATGTGAACGAGACTCGAAGTCTCCGACCAATCCCCGGCTCACACCCCAACCCTGTGGGTCCCATTGGATTAAATGTGGTGGTAAGACAATGGTATCGATCTTGCCTGGCCGAGACTCCTCTGAGTGAAGAGGTAGAAAACAAGCACACACATACATGCACACAGACTGCCATCTGTCATGGCTGTCGGCAGCCTGGCCACCATCTTCCACTGCAAATGGGGCAAAACACACAAAATAATAGACTGAGGGAGAAGGAGAGAGACAAGCAGGGAAGCAGTGCCTAGGGAGCTCATATAAACCAATGGCTATCATTTTGTCTTCGCCGGAGCCGCAGTCTCTATGCTGTTAGATTCCCGGTGTTGCCCGTGGCTCACAGATGGGACAGTCTTTTAAGGTGCTGGTTGTCCATCAACTCCAGAATGTCATTACATGTGTGGCAGCTGGTGAGGAAGGTGACGCCTGTTTTTAATTAAATCCAGGAAATGTGGACAAGATGGCATGGTAATGGAGGGAACATCATTAATAGTTGGAGACATATCTCCCTGTTGGATCAGTGTGATAAACTGCGTAGGGTGAGTCAGAGATATCAAAATCAAGAACTGCTTTTATTTTCCAAGGACAACGGATGCACAAGGAAACTGAATTGGATAACTGCTGCTGAGACATAAAACTGTGATCACAAAGGAAACTTTTCTTTTCTTTTTGGTTAGTTACATCGGTTTGGTCGTGACATGTGTGGGTCCTCTGTAAAGTGTGTGTCTTTTGTTTTGGCTATGACGCATGTTGAGGAAGTTAAACAGCTAAGCTTCAGACTTGCCACACTACAGCTCTCGGGTGAGACGGTTGCTTTGTTTTTCTTGCAAGAAGAATGCTAAGTTCTCCCTTCTTCTATTTAAAAAAAAACATTCAACCCACATTCTTTATATTTTCCATATTTGCTTGTTCGTGTTGAGGGTCACTAAAGTCTATACCAACCCGCAACTGACATCATTTTAACATCATCTGTGTTGTTTCCAGATGTCGCAGGTACCTATTTTCAGCCGACAAGCTCTAAAAAACAACATTACACTACACTACTGCCACTGTACAGTTTGTATACTGTACAGACTGTAAAGTCCCTTGAGGGAAAATTGTGATTTGTGATATCTGCCACTAGCTGGTGAACATAGTGGAGCATTTTGCAGCTACAGAGCCAGATATTTCCCTCAGGAGTTAGCAGAGACCAACACAGAGCCTAACAGAAAGTGAATATTGAACTTACATTCGGATGGTGGACACAAGCACGACTCTGAATGAAGGCTAATGTCTCTCTGTGCCTGCTGGATGTGTAAACAAGTTGTAGCTTACTAATATTTTCCGCACTTTGTAAGATAATATGTCAGTGTTGTGTTTAAAGCTTGTTGCATTGCCCCCAAGTGGCAAGAAAAAAACGATTTACAATGCTTTGAGTGATATTTTTTGGTAAAATAAGTCCTTTCTGCAATGAACAAAGAATACCCTTTCTAATATCCTATTCCCACTTTATCCAATCACAAGAGAGCACTCACTTACAGCACCTTTAATTAATGCAGGTTTAAGGTTAACAAGCTAATACTACTAGCTGGTAAAGGCTTGACTTACCTGTGCCTTTCAGTGACTTTATTTAAAGCCCTCATTTGTTTTTAATTGAGGAGACAAATCCAAACCAGCAATCCAACTTTTCTTATCCTGTTCAGTCAGAAAGTCAACTATAGCTGTGACTTTATCATAAGTCTCTTAAAACAGGTGTGTCTTAAAATAACTGCGGGAAGCCAAATCAGTTTGCATTTGATTTAGTTCTGAAACAGTGTCTGAGTGAAGTTGCAATGTGCCTGCAGTGAGCCAGGTGGGGGGGTTGAATCTTTGAAGCCAATCAGGCAAATGACGCAGTGGTGGTCAGGCATAACACACAATAACACTCATCCAATGCCAGTGAGAGTAGAAATAATAATAAAAAAAAAAGTTAACTACCTAAGAAGCAGATGGGAGCAGTTTTACATTTGGGTTGTGAGTTATAAATGATCCCATTTGAGGTGTTACATTACACTATTGTCTCAGTTATATAATGAAAGCGGCTGTGCAGAATAATTCACTTTAACCCTGAAACAAGTTATTTGGGTTAAATTTTAAAAGTATTTTAAAAATTCAGTTGCTGGAGCTTATTGAAAACGCCATAAATAAAACGCCACTACAGAAGCAGACTGACTGTAAGAACAAGGAAGCGATGGCATTACATTATGTTTTAGGGGTGAATTACAGAGTCTGCTCAATTTTGCATGTGCTGTAGCTACAGCCTTGACAGTTCAGTGAGCTTATGACTGCAGGGTTGATAGATTGAATCCAGGACTGCATGGGAAAATGTGGACAAGGGATATGAATGGGAAATCATCTAAAAGTCTAAGTCTTGTCATCTCTTTTGCAAGACACACATGGGCCAACAAATTCATTCTCTGCACTGCCTATCACTTTTCTTGAGAAAAACCAGACCAGAGTCGTTGAGCATTACCTGTAACTAATGGGCTGTACAATCTGTGTGCCTACCTGTGGGTGATCTGTGTCCCCCGTAGACTGGACATGGTCTCTTCCAGGTTCTGCCGCAGGTCAGCGATGTTCTTCACCGTCCTCATGCGTCTCGTCTCAGGATCCTCTCCTGGAGACACACATTTTAAATGATTTACCGAGATGTTTGGACCTGCATGCACACACACAGCAGTCACCTATACCCACAAAGGCTACACACGCACAAACACACAATATAAGAAGCGACTAGGACATCTGACATACAGCATTTTATTGGATGTCACTGGATGTCTTAGTGGGGAAACAGAATGACGACCGATCACCCTGACAGCCAGCACGAGTGCACATCCCTAAACCCAATGCTGACAATTGGGAGGCCAAACAATGAATCAGCCTGTCAGGCTGCACCACATGCAGTTCTTTTCATCTAAAAAGTGGATACATTATTTTACGCAGTACTGACATTTTTTCCTTCAGGCCAGCGCAGAAATGTCGTGCCATGACACCACGGGCTCTGTCAGTTAGTTCGGGACACAGTCGTGTGAAAGCAAACTCTGTCAGAGCTCCTGTGTTTCTCTGTCAGGCAAACGCTGCCACTTCAGCCCACCGTCTCCCCTACCCCGCCCTTCAGCAGCATACAGCTATGAATGCATGTCATATGTTTTATGTTCTCCTCAGTTTCCAGATGAAGCGCTTCTTTTACTCGGCCTATTCCGAAAGAGCTGCTGCTAGTAAGCACAGGGTGGGCAACATTTCATAACTGCGAGCTGTGGGTGCAGACCAAAGTATCTGCTTGTCTGCTCCAATTAAGCCTCTCTTTTAGCTTGTCAAGCTAGCGTGTATCCGCAGGCAGGTACCACAGAATAGGTAATTAACAAGTGGCATGAGACATAGAATGGATGCCAGTCACACACATGCTTTCCAGTTTTAAGGTGCTCTCAGAAGTAGTGTCTCTGTGGTACAGATGAATGAGCCGAGATCTCATACAACAAGGTGATAATGCTGCGTGATGGTAAGATGAGTGCTCTCACTACGTGCTGATTTCAGCGCTCTGAGCAGACATACGGGCAGAAAGCTACTGTGATTACAGTGAGTGGGGCAAATGGGGGCAGATGTGAGCAGTGGTAGGTTGAAGGTTTGAAGAGGCCCCCAGCGACTCCTGTGGCAGAGCTCAGTGCCAGAAGGAGAAAAAGGGGTTGAGGTGTTGATATGCAGGAGAATGAAGCAGGTTGGAAGTGAAAATAAGCAGAAAAGCTAAGCCAATTTTACCCTGGATGACAATTTGAGAGCTGACCTCAAGGCATTTTGATAAACTTTCAAGCAAAAATGCAAAAACTGCATACATTCTATTCAAATAAAAAGCCACAGGATGCAAGACTGTACTCTGCATTATGTCTCTGGTATTTCTACTCGTACTGTCTTTTCCCCCATGATGAAAAAAATGATTTGATTTGAACAGACTAATACAACACTGCCAGTATGTAGCTGATCTTGCACACTGACACCAATCCTCCTGTTTTGGTGTATGCTGTGTCACAACGCACATTGTTAGAGTCACTTTGTTCGCCAGGCACAATAAATGTGCAGAAAACCACCTTGGTGAAGCTGGCAATGAAATGATTCAAGTCTCCTTTTTGAAAGGGAATCCTTTCTTTCACATGCTTGTTGTAGCTGATGCATCAATCTTGGCCATGTCTGTCCTGTAGAAAAACATTTATAAATAAAGGTCCAATCAATGTGTCACAGAAGCACATTGCACAGGGTCAAATTAACCTCATTTTCACTTACAATAATCTTTTTAAATGCTTTAAAATGCCAGCAAATAAGCTGAAAATTGAGGGACATCAAGCTAGAACCCGCAGCAGACAGGATGAGATTCACAGGTTTTTACCAATTAAAGGATTCAGTGCTGGTTGTCTTAGTCACATTGTTCAAAGCCATCACAATTCCAGAAAATTCCAAACACCACAATGTCTACATTCGAAAAACCTTTTGCAAAATTAAGTCAAGACTTGACCTCAATCATGCTGCATCATGCTGTGTAATGACCTCACAGGGTAAAGAGCAGTGTGGTATAATTGAGGTCATGTTTTGTCTTCGTAGAGCAAACATACCACAGGGGGTGAGGTAGTGCCAGGCGTTCTTAACCTCTGACCCCATATCAGATGTCCCCTGCACTATGGCCGGTAATTAGAAATCAATGAGGCACATGTGTTCTTGCTCTAAAACTTTCTAGAAAAAAGGAATACAACCACTGTGACAAATAGAGGCTTCTGTGCCCTGAATTTATTCCTGTCAGGATGGAACAAATATGAAACAGCGCTGAGATCATCATCATGAGAGATCAAAACTGTTCTTTGAAGCCCTTTAGTCATTTCTCAGTTGGTTGCAGCTACTTAAGGAAAGAAGGTCCAGTCCAAGAATTAAGTGGGAGATGGATCTCTGCGACCACAAATCTAAAGCATTGCTGTTATCTTCTTCTCTTTCCCACATCATCCCTGCTCCTCCTCTCACCAGGGCCTCTTCGAGAAAGATCCAATTACGACCCCATTATAAAGCGACATGAGGAGATCTGGCTCCGGAGTCTGCATCATGGACGGACACTTCATGCAACATTGAGAAGCAGCCTGAGGCGTGCGTGTGCACTTATGGTTTTTTGTGTGCAAGTGTGTGTGAGCAATTCACTGCGGTACAGTAGGCAGAGGTCTCACCTGCACAGTGAAGTAGAGCTCGGGCTGCCTTTTGGGCAACACAACAGCACCCCACAGGCAAAACAACACTTTACACATACCTGCACACACACACACACACACACACACTGGAGCCTCTTCAAATTGAATCGAATGAATATTAATTCCAAAACATAACACCTATAAGCAATTTACCAGCTCAGCACTCTTTAGTGGATCAGAAAGAGTAGCAGACGTGTGTGTGGCTACATTCCTAGCACCTATTATTGCTTACACACATGCATAGATGGTGTTTCTACTTTAGTATCCAACACTACAGAGAGGTGAGAAGCCACAAAGCATTCATTTGAATGCAAGCTGCTGTCCAGCTCTTGGCCCGATGAGGTTGTGAAGCAGCCAAACTGAGACCGGGTTAGTTAAGGGGGGGGTGGAAGGACGGAAGGAGGGAAGGTACACACACACACACACACACACACACACACACACACACACACACACACACACACACACACACACACACACTCTGACACACACATACGGGGTGTAGAACAAACGCTGCTCGAGTTGACACAACATAATGCAAATAGCTGCCATTTGGGACTGACACGTTTATACACACACTCTAGTGCACACACACACACACACACCCACACACATACTGTACCAGTGGGTGCTTTAGTGCCAGTTCACTCTCTCTCCCCCTCTCTTTCAATAATGCATGTTAGCTGGTAGTGATGCCACTCTCCTCAGCTGAATACTATTAGGGAACCATCCCAGTCACCTAATTATAATACACACACATGCATGCACAGACAAACACACACCTAGACATAACTGTATGCTAGCTCTACCCTTGTTGCAGCATTTTGTCACAAATCAGTCCTAATGAAGCTTTGGCTGTCAGTCGTTGATGTGTCGCTATGGCAGCACTTACACACACACACAGATGCAAATTTTATGGCCCTAGTTCCGAGTGTGTTTCCTAACAGGCGTTGCAGCATGGTTAGGGCTTGTTAATACGTATCAACGACAACTGCTCCCCAAGGCTAAAAGTGCAAACTGCAGCAACAGCAGAGCAAAGCCAACTTTGACCGGGGTGAAAGAGTTCTTTAAAAAATGTAAATTGGCTTCTCAATCTATCTGGATAGCTCTCTAACACACACACATAGGCATGTGCGCACTCTGCACACAAAGAGAAAAAAAGCACCTGTGCGCAAAGAGAGTAGATAAGCATACACACACACACACACACACACACACACACACAATGAAAGGTGTAATAATAAGGTATTGATCACGTTGGCTGTGTGACTCACAGGCAGTGAGGGAGGTGCAACTAATAAAAGCTTTTTCAGTGGAAGAGGTGCTGGCTTTCCATCATCTACATCTCACGGTATTTCTCCTTTATGCTGCATCATGCCTCAACCTGCTGAAAGGAAATCAGCAATAATCTGTTCTTTGCCAAAGCTCTGCTCTGCTGTGCATCTTACTTTGCTTCATCTGCAGAGTCACAATAATCTCCTCTGCTGTCACAAAAATGTAAAAAAAAAAAAAAAAGGTACATGTCATCAACTGAACCCCCCTTTCTTCTCACATCAAAAGCCATGTTTGTACCTGTGTGCTCATTCCAACATCATAAAGTATATCATACTCTGGTGGCAATGGGTTAGGTTTAGGCTGTGCTAAATTCACAGTACAGCACTTAACAATGCTGCACACACAGCGTGAGTGCTTTATTTGCAGACTGTGACAGTGTGCAGGTGCAAGGGTATAAGAGATCTTTTCACCTGCTTGTGTCCATGAATTCAAACTACTGCTGCTGCCTGTGTAAATCTTGCATTAACAGCATCAAGCATGAAGGACCGTGTGTGTGCTTCTACAGCCTCGTCTCATACATTTTTTTTAAATAATGTCTTAAAATGCTAATAGTGTTCTCTGAGAAATAGGTTTCCCCCCATCGTGAGGATTAAGAAAATAACCAGCTTATTGAAGGCTTTTTCTGCTGTGACATTCTCATGTTCTGCACAAGTTTGCATTTTTAAACTTAACCAAAACTTCACATTAACATAAGTTCTTTTACTTTCTCTGCAAAGTTTCCAAATTGTGGTGGTGTCATGTTGGAGGAATGTAATCCCCAATTACTTGTGTCTACAGTGTGTAACGCCTTCCACATTCATGCTCATTTCCTGGATTTGGCTGACCGTGTTGACTTACGTGGGCGGGGTTGGGTGTGCAGCACCTGCTCCAGGTCACCCAGCATTGTGAGGATCACCTCTTTATCCAGCTGAGCCGTCCCCTCTCGAGGTCCACCCCCTGAGACCTCCTCCTCCGCCCAATACCCGCCATCCTTCTCCTTGCCTCCCCGCTTCCCGCCGCCCCTCCCTGCTGCTGGCTCCTCATCTGAACGCCCGCTGCTGCCCTCTTCGTCTGTACCCCCCTCCCCTCTGGACAGCCGTGCCGGCTCAGCCCGCGGATGGCCGCTGTACGACGCCCGCTGTGGCCGCCCGCCTGCGCCCGTGCATCGCCAAGGGACCGGGATGAGGGAGTGTTCGGACTGAGAGAGCACCTTGGTGAGGGAGAGCGACAGGGATCGAGCCCTGGTGCCCCGCACACCTCCGCCCCTTGGGACCACCTCCTTCCTAGGGCTTCCTTGCAGGCTGCCTCCTGCCCGCTGAGTGGGGGATGAGTATGCTGAAGAGTTCTGAGGCTGTGAAAGACGGGACGGCGACTCGTCAAGCTCAAAGGAGTAGACCCGCTGCTCGCCATCGCTGAGCAGGGTCAGGTTGGTGAGCGAGCGCTGCTTGATCCTCAGGTTGAGGTTGTCTGGGAGAGGCTGGGGAGGCCGTCGAGCCGGGCTGCCCCCCTGATACACTGAGAACTCTGCTCCTCTCTTCATCTCTGCTCGCCGCTCCCTTTTTTTGGCTTACCTTGTCGCCTCCGGAGGCTCAGCGCGTGAAACTATGCACACAAGTGAATCTACCTGTGTCTGTTTCACATCTTGGCTGCACTGTCACTGAGAGAGCAGATGGAGGGAAGGAGGAACCGGAGGACGGAGGAGGCAGAGAGATGCGTCCCCACGTCCCACGCCTCCCAACAGTGGTCCAGGCTTCAGAGGGCTGGAGGGAAAGTGAGCGCAGGGGGAAGAGCGGAGAGAAAACCTCCCTCTCAGGCATGAAGGTAGAATCCAGATCCATCCTCGAGCCAGCCCATACTCATGGTCAGATGTTGAGCAAGACACAAACACTCATTCCGCACTCCTTCTCCAGTCCTCATGCTTTCTTCTCTGTCTTCTTGGCTCCTTCCTCCACCACAGTCAGGGGCGTGGATGAACGAGTCGCTACATCTCCCTTCCCACACCAGCGCTTTCTGCCTCCTGCTATCGCACTCCCTTTATCTCTTCCCCCTATTAAATGACAGTCTCTTTTCATTCAGTCTTATCTCTCTCCCTCCACCTTCTGTCTCTCCTTTAATTACCACCTCACTGCCACACTTCTCCTGCCTCCCCTCTGACTCTCTGACGGTCCCTCTCTCCTCGCAGCGGAGAATGAGCGGGTGGTGAAGCCGGCGAACAGGCTCACGTAGCTCTCGGTCTGCTTGTTCATTCCAGCCTGCAGCACTCTCTCTCTCTCTCTCTCTCTCTCAGCCCTCCTTCTCTGTGTTTATCACCCTCTCTTCCTTCTTAATCCCTCTCATTCTCTCACTTTCTGTTCACTTCCTCCTCTTCCCTATCTTTCCTCCCTCCCACTATCCTTCGCCCCTCTCTTTTCTGCTTTTCTATCTTCCCCTCGCAGTGTGACAGTGAGTTGTTTGGACAGTGCACCTGTAAGCCCCCGCTGCACCACACTGTCTGCCCGACTTAATTAAATGCTATCTTGAGGAGCTAAAATAGCGAGCCCGCAGCTTATCGTGGATCAACAATGAGACCACAGAGCCAACGTATACCCATCAATCAATGCGAGCTTTATTAGCCCTGTGGTTATTAGTCACAGCTGTCTTCCACACATTTTAAAACCCTGGTTACCAGTAGAGAGTAAGAACTGGGAGCAGTTGCCTCCCATCAAGGTTGATCACAATTTGTTATGCTATTGATAAAAAATTAACAGATAAACTTTCTGTCTCTACACATTTTTTTTTACAAAATGCTTAAATCAACATGTGAATAAAGATCTTATATAGCTGCTTTGATGTTTGGATGTTGTCACTACTAACATTGGTTCAGCCTCTATATGTAAAATGAGCAGGCTTGTCATGTGGTATCTGCGGCGTGCATGCACTTGAATTTCCTTCTCAGAGGCTCATTTCTGCCCCTCTACAGAGAGAGAGGCGGAAAAAACTGAAGGATGTGAAACGACCATGGAACGTGTGACAACAAAAAGCAAGTGTTTGAAATGGACCCCAAACAAAGGGAACGGTCAGCGCTGCAGTCTAATTTTATCTTTCAAATGATGGGCTTGGGAAAAGCCACGGCCAGAGCGAAATGTCTGGAATGCCACTGCGGACCTGACAAACCAAACCTGTAATCACGCGCTGTTGTTTGTGCATGCTGTGCTTTGTAGGCGCTTTGAACTTGACATCCTATTTTTCATTGAGTTAGCTGTTTATTTGATTTATCATCCAAGCTGACCTCTTTTATTTTGGTTATTATAAGGATGCAGTTTCATTCGAAGATATGACATCCAGCATTTTCTGCGATCCTCAGTAAACCACTGACAAAAGTACTGTGCTTAAAACAGATGACACAATACAGTCGATACTGACCGATGGGATGTGAGGAGCTGTGACAGTGAAGTCTTCATTTGCAACTGGCAGAAACCAGTTGAAACAATGGAATTTCTCATTGCCAGTGGTTTGTGTTTTGATGGTGTGTTGCCTGGTTTAACCTCTCATCCTGCTCCTTGTCAGGAATTTAAGTTTGTGGTTAGAAACTCCTTCAAACTGGTCAAAAGTCCCTCGATCCTGACCTCTCAGCTGCAGAAGCTCGATTGCACAGATGTCCGCCGAATGTAATTAAAGGACAATAAAGACGTTTGCAGTCTTCGCTCTTTGCAAACAAGCAGTGCAATTTAATTTTAACCAGCTGTCTTTGGTTGTATTGGTGTTATGACAATCATAGTGGAATAGGATCATGAACTGAAATATACCAAATGTACAAAATATAGTGATATCCTCAAAACCACTACCTTTACAAAATCAATGTATCGTTTTAAAGCTTGAAACAGCTTTTCTTACCAGTTTATGTAAGTCCATCCATACTTCCATCTGGATATGGCTCAAATATCTGAACTAATGGCACAGTATGGATAAAACATCTATCAAATGTCAAATGACACTTTGCAAAAGCCATCCCTCTGCTGAGGAGCAAGGCTGTACATACATATAAAGATATGTTGATATGTCATGCAGCTGGTCGTGATGCAGCACTGGGATTGTAACAGATGATGGCAGCCTGTGGGGATGTAAACAAAGAGCCGCAGATGCTCCCTGTGTCCGGCTGTCAGCGCTGACCTTTTCCCTTCGCTACGTGAAACCAGCGAGGAACAGGGATCCCCCCAGTAAACACGCCCTACGTCACCACACACACAGATGGAACACATACACGGACTGCTCGACACCAGTGCATAGTGCTATCCACAGCAGTAGCCTTCAAAAGCTCTTTCACCTTGCAGCAACCCTTTAACTATTCCCCATTAACACTCCAACAGGGCAAGAGCTAAAGAAATTGTTCTATTTCCTAAAGACAGTGAACGCATCACGTGAACAACCTGTAGAGCAGCACAGTGAGGTCAACAAATGAAGGTTAAACCTTATATGACCAATATCACAAGAGACAATGCATACAGGCTTATGCACATTCACACACCCACACACACACATATATCATATATGCAGAGCGCACAGCACGTGTGTTGACCTGCTGTACCTGATATCTCCTCCAGGCACTGTTTGGCTGTCTTGCTGTAGACCAGCTCTCCCTTGGTGGGGCTGAGGCAGGGGTCGGCTGGGGCCACCATGGTGCAGTCATTTTCTGAGAATGTCCTGGAGGCACAAAGAGCAAAATAATACACTGCGGTTATGAAGATAGGCTGAGATATCTGGCAAACTCAAGCTCAACTACAGCCACTCCAGTCATTTCAAAACAGCCACGGGGGCAAGGGTTTTTACTGGGACTCTCCCACCATGGTTAACGCTGCTCCGGAGTCATGTTCATTCATTCAGTGAAACAATGCGATGAGACGATTTAGGTTTAGGTTTTAGGTTAATATGGCATAAAAAGTACAATCGCATTAAAAATGTAGTATCACATAAACACATGGGGAGTGGTTAGGAGGGTACTTCGGTCCTCCTGCCGATAATTGGAATTTAAGGGTTTGAAATAGCAGTAATGGAGAGATTTAAGAGTTTTATTTGGAGCAACAGTCAGAATGTCTGTTGTCTTTGTTACTGCAGTGTTAAACAAGAAAACAGTTTCAATTTCAGTCAGTTTTTGGTCTCCATCACATATTCAACAGATGGACACCTCTAAAGGGAGGAGGGGACGGTCTCAGCTGAGATGTTTTCTGTGAGTGTTTCTGAGTGTGTCTGTGTGCATGAAATATGTGCTTGTGTGCATCTGCCTCTCCTCCTCAACCCTGAGCTCCATCACGCTACCACTGTTTGTTTGCTGATCTGAAGAAAACAAGGATAGAGTCCAACGCACTTCATGAGATAACAGCCCTACAAACACGCACACACACACAGCGAACGACAAGAAAAAAACAAAACCACACATGTAAAACAGACTGACAGCAATATAGACAAACACACAGAGAGACACAGTGACAGATGATACACATACAAACACAATCAAAAGCGCGCGCACACACACACAATAAAAAGCATGCACAGTTTCAACCACATGCACATTAAAATCCTAAAATACACACAGCAAATCTTGCATACAAACACACAGACAGATCTAAGCACAAGCTACTGTATAGTATTCATGCCCTCCCATACACACACACACACACACACACACACACACACACACACACACACACACACAGGGGACCACCACCACCACCTGCAGAGCTGCAGATAAAAATTGGCTTCCATTTGCGACGGCAGCATCAGCCTGTGACTTCAGCTCTTTTTTTTTCCTTCCTGCAAGCTTCCCTCACCTCAGTGGATTCACAGACACACAGATATTCACTACCACTACTGCACGCAACAATTTGGGCCCATAATAAGAAAACAGATAACTGCTGCAGAAACAAATGAATATTTATTCTGCTACTTTTAAAGTGAAGGCTAACTTCACTAATAAGATTCAGGTATGTTCTTAATGGTTGTTGTATTATTCCTGATCTGTTTCTGAACTATGGTCAGCTTAGATTATGGGAGCAAAAGAGGACACAGAGGATACAGTTAACATTGCATACTGTGTGTGTGTGTGTGTGTGTGTGTGTGTGTGTGTGTGTGTGTGTGTGTGTGTGTGCGCGTTGGGGGGGGGGGTACTCTAACTGCAGTAAAGTCCTGCAATTTAAATGAGCTTTTAAACTTGGCAGAGGCAACGGCTTATACTAGGTGTAGAAAGAGAAACTGAACAAGACAAAGATGCCTAATTGGGCTGAAAATGATGGTAAATTGCATCACAGCAGGAGGCCTTTACACTCACTGTGTGCATGCTGACGGCTGTGGGTGAGGCCTGCTGGTGAGGAAGAACATTTATAGCAGCATTTATATAGGCTACAGAAATATGCTCATATGAACATTTCTTGGCAAAGCAGAGAGTAAAGAGGTTGGGGGGAGTCATAAAGATGCACAACCAGCACAGTAAACTGCTTCACACACAATTGAGTGAAAGAGTGAGATTGTTGCATTAGCTCCGCCCACCCTCTCTGGAGGACCAACCACTGTTTGGTGATGGAAAACACAACCTAACGGTGGATTTTTGGAAATGTCGCCATAGACACTCAGTTGGTAATAGTTTAAGTTAGTAGTTCAGCGATAGATAGGGACTTAACAGACATTTATTTAAATGAAAATCTTTGAGATTATTAGTTTAAATGCATTATTATTTAATGTGTGGAAATGACTGTCTAAAGGCCCAGGCACACCAGCTTTTCAAAAAGCAATATTTTGAGACAAAATCAGCAAGGATACCCTCGTGGGGGTGAAGTGAATCTGCACAAACTTTTCACAACCACGAATTTGATGAACTTTGACACATGTTAGCAAGCTCACTAGCTTTCAGGAACTCTTTATTGACTGAAATGATGTACAATCTAAAGAAAACAATTCCAGGGCGAGTAAACAGCAGATCTGATGTGGCCATGCATTAACGGAGTGTGAAGCCTCTAACAGCCCAACTCTGCTGGCCAACTCATGTCAGATACTTCAGAGTTTGTTGTTAATATTTGGTCTCTAATGGCCACTAGAAACTCAAACTGTACTGAAGTGAGTAAGGAAATCAGTGAGAGGTATTTTTGGGAGCAGCTGTAGTGGTTGTTGCTTGCTACAGCCAAATTGGGAATTTCTAACCCCAATCACTGACACAAATGGCAGCAAGTGGTAAACTCAAGCCCAGGCTTCAGAATGTTCCTTCAGAAACCTGTGGCTGACATCACAGATGGTACCATTTCTGCACTCAATGTTTGTTCGTTTACTTTTTGCTCATTGAGTGGGCTGTGTGTGCTTTTACAGTTTCAGTTTCTATCTGTCACTATTTGCCAAGGACTGATAGCCGCAGTAGTTCGAACTTGCTAAATGTGTGGGATTAAAGCAATGCTAATGCTCGAAAGAGGCAGTGCCGAATGTGGCGGAGCTGACTGTGCACAACGAAGGAGGAAGACGAGAGAGGGAGAGAAGGGTTGAAGGATTAAGTCTTGTTTAATGGGATTCCTAACTCTCTTTCTCTCCGAGCACAAAGGCATCCTAGAGACTTTGGCGGCTCCTCCATTTTTTCCCCCCTGGATTACCTCTGCCGTTGTAAGAGAAAATCGGCCCTGCTGGGCAGATTTACCCACTTCCTGCACCTCTGATGGCTGTAACGTCAGGGAACCACACACCAGCTGCATGCATCACAACAACACTGGTTGAATGACGGAGAGGGGAAAGGCTTCCTGAACGCTGCCAATGTCTGGATTCTCACATCAAAGATGAATCCCAGACAGTTAAATAACAGGCTTTGGCAGGCGGCAGGCAGTGGATGTTAATTTGTTCTGTAATGACTGTGAAGAGATGTGGAGGCGAGAGCAAGATGCACAGTGGGGAGAGCCAGCTGATTACTGGGAATGCTCTAGGATTTCATGGTGTGTGTGTGTGTGAATATAGTGTGTGTCTGTGTATGTGGAGGTATGACGGTTGATAGTGACCTCACCTGTACATGAAGGGGGCCACAGTGGCAGTATTGGGGTGGTTGTGCTGCTGCTGCTGAGGAAGCTGAACTACTCCGTTCCCTCCCAGCGCTGCTCCTCCTCCTCCTCCACCCCCTCCACCTCCTCCCAGCATCCCACTGGACCCAGACAGTGCTGATGTGCTGGTAGAGGAGGTCATGCTGGTCCTTTTGCCCTCTGGGCCCCCAATGGAGCGCTGTATGTAGAAACTCCCACCCTGCCCTCCTTTTGTCAGCTTGGCCCTCTCCCCCTCTCCGCCCCGCATGTTGCCGCTGCTGTTTAAGGCGGCCTGGCTTTGGCTCTGTGACTGACTCTGAGGCTTGGATGTTGTGGTGGAGGGAGCTTTAAGTCCTGGCTTAGGGATGCCACTGGAGGCGCCACCATCTTTCTTTCCAGATGATGGCTTCCCTCCCTTGGGGATGAGGCTGGCAATTTTGGAGGTCTTCTTGGTGGGGTCAGCAAATGACTCACGCTCCTCTTTGGGTGCAGAGCTGTCCTTAGAAGATTTCCCAGACTTGGTTTTGTCCTCCTTGTCTTTGGACACAGACCTGCTGCCATTGGCAGACCCTTTTGAATATGAAGAGGATGGGGAGGAAGAAGAGGAAGTCTTGCTTGGTGCAGTGAGGGACGATCCAGAGGTCTTGGTAGACATTTGCTTGGCTGTGGCACTGCTACTGCCGCTGCTGCACACCGACCCCGTGGGCGTCAATCCGTCCTCACCATACTCTGACAGGTCATCCTCCTCCTGCAGAGCCATCTCTGCCACAGACGGCGACGCCCGTGAAGCTGATCTAGGGTTAATCAGCCGGAACTTCTCCAGCATGGACCTCTGAGGTCCACCACTGCCGGCCGACCCCACTTTTGACCCATCGCTTCCATGAGGCAGAAGGCCCTCAGGGCCCTGGGGAGAATGGGTGGGGGAGGGCGAGTGCGCGGGGCTTGCCAGCATTGACGAAGTGGCACTGTGCTTGAGGTTCATGGACTTGCTGCGCCAGGACTTGCCGGTGGTGGGTGAAGGGATGGCAGAGGCCAGCTGCTGCCCGCTGAGGCTGGTGGGGACTGTCCCACCAATACCGCTCCCATTCATCCCACCAGGTGCTGGGATACCCCTCACCGCTTCTGAACCAGGGGAGAAAAGAAACAGAGAAGATGACCGTTAAAGGTGCTTATTTAGTCAATTGAAACATTTAACACTGTGCAGTTACATTTCCACATCATATTTTTAATTCATTCACTCATAGATGACCTCTAATTTTGGAACACTTTTAAAGAGTAGTAGTATTCACTGTAGAGATTTTGACCCAGGTAAGGACTTTATAAGCAAAACAAAATTTGAAGGGAAACACTCAAGTTGTGAACGTGGCAAACTTTCACAGCCGTCCTGGGTTTATTTGATATGGGAAACAACATTTTCTTAAGTCACAGCTGAATCCTCTGCTGTGTTCCTCTACGGTTTTATACACATTCAGCTTGGGGAACTCAGAGGTTTTGAGCGTTGTGTAAAGTAAAAAAAAAAATTGAGAGCTATTCCCAATTGGCAGAACATCAGCAGCAGGTTGGGTTAAAAGAAAAGATTTCACTGTTATTATTACACCGATGTCTCGAAGGAGTTTGCCCTCAAGTGTGCTGTACCTTCCTGCTCAGACTTCCACCTCCTGATTTACACTTCTATAGAGGCCTGTCACAGCATGTTTGCAGGTGGATAACAATGGTTACAAGGGAAAGGCCACCATGTTGTAGCCATGACAACAAAAGAGATCACACCTGCTATGCAAACATGGAAGGAAAGGAAACCATCAACCACCTCATTCACCGTTCAGCATCACCCACCTCTGATGATCAATGTGTTTGGAGTTTGATGAGTTATATTTAATTACTCTATTGCTGAAGGAAGTTTCCCTGAACCTAGCTATTTTTTTTCATTACTGATTTTCTGCCTTTCCTAGAATTATTCTGGGGATTGTATTGAATTCATTGGTGTTATGCATGTAGATAAGGATTGTAGTAGGAAGAAGAAAGTGAGCTTTTCCACTTGAAAAAAAGTGAGCTGCGCAACCTCAACTCAGAAAATGTCTTCCATATTGAGGCTGCAGTGGGTGTAGAAATTGGTGTCTGCCTCTGATCCAGGGATTTCTCCCAGTATGATTGCTCAACACTGGTAGAAAATGGCAGCTCAAGAAGAAAGCCCTTGCACTTTGAAGGATTCACATCAAAAGCAAAATTGCTGAAACATTTCCTGCTATCAGACTCGTAGCTGCTGGAAATATCTGGTCACCATGTCATCTCTGTTATCTACACATATAAAAACATTTCCAGGGTATATTACACCGAGGGACTTAGATAGATAGATTTGTCATTTAAATGCACGCTGTGGAGTTTTTAACTCTAGTAGTACTATGCCATATATATACTATATACTATATACTCTAAACTATAAACTATAAACAAACTTTTGTCCACAAGGCACCTTTAACTCAAACTTCCTGGTGGTGTGCAACAGACATTCATCCATATTTGGTACACATAAGTGAATGAAAATAAGTCAGTGGCAGCAAAGCTCACTAACATACAGTATAGAGAATGTCAAATTTCACAAAAACTATAACTACTCACAAATAATCATGTAATCAATGCCACGTAATGTGATAAAAAGGCTAGTATTAATTAGGTAATCATTTCTTATTAATTGTGTAAATATCTGTCTACATAAAGTTTGTATCATATTTTCTTATTTATATTTTGAGCTCTTATCACATTTATTGGCATTCATTCCATTACAGGCCTGAATGCCGAGCTATGATGTATTACATAGGTGTTTGCTTTGGCCAGATTTTCAGTCAAATGGTGTAAAAAGTGGTGGGAAATATGACATGCTGAGCCACACACACACACACACACACCCCTACCTACACACCTACCCACACACACACACACACACACACACACACACACACATACACACACACAGCACATAAACATCCATCATGCGTGTAAAATAAATGTTTTAGTGTCTGCCGCCGAGCAATGACCTTTACACACACACCCCACTTTTCCTGGCTGGTTGATACTCAAGCCATTGGCACTTCTCTTTCCCTCCCTCTTTCTCTCTTACACACACACACACACACACACACACACACACACACACACACACACACACACACACACACACACACAAGATCCACTACCTGACAGATATAAGTATAGTATTTCAGGAAGATGGACACAACTGAAGACAGGCAGACACAGACAGACAAGACTGCATACGAGTTATGAGAGGGAAAGAGAGGCAGATAAATAGAGACAAAAAAGGAAAGGCAGAATTAGAGATGAGGCGGGAATAAAGAGAGGAGGGTGACGGAGTGACAGCATGAAGTTATGCACCATTAGACTGAGTGTCTGTCTGGCTGTCAGTCAGCACAGCGAGCAGGGTTCAGCTGGCTGTGAGTCACCTCCAGTCTGCAGTTTAAAGCCCTTTCAGGCAGGCAGAGGGGAGTGGGAGTTCAGCTTCAGCTGTGGCCGGGGCCGAGAGACTTTAACCGGCTTACACTTCTGACAACATTCTCTAAAACCTTAAAACATGCTTGAAAACGCCTCAGTGCACTGTGTCAGATCCGGAACGAAAAGTGCAATCTGTCAGGCTATGACAGACTTTTCTTTACATTGTGGTGTATAAAATGGAATCTAGCACCCAGCTGTAAAACGTCTAGTAATGGCCAGGGCTCCATATGTCTTCATTCAAGACAGGCATTTATTATTCATTCTTTTTTCATCATTAACGCAGCACTAAAAGAGTAAATTCACTACAGTTTCTGTGAAACTTCTGGTGTTTATTTTATAGACTGCATTTTATGTCTGTGGCCAATCAACAGGTGTACAACTACTGCTGCTGAAGCTGACTGCATCATGAATATCCTGCTGAAATCATTTCAGGAAGCAATCCAACAAAACCAGCTGGCTACTAAATCATATCGATCCATCATCTGTACATATATACAGCATCTATTTGGTTGAAGCATTAAAAATACATTAGGCCATAAAATACTGTATACATTTAAACACCTGAGAGAAATCTAAAATAGTTTTACACCCAACACTCTTCAGCTATTACTAGTTACCTGCACACTAGAGCTGATCTTCATTTTAAATTGTTCTGTATTTAATTACTGAATATGCCATAAAGAATGTGCACATGTGGATGTGTGATTTAAATCTATGCAGGCACATTTTTGATATTCAAGCTTGCAGAAAAGTGCTCATTCGTCATCTCTGAATGTGTCGGTGAGCTGTGTGAAAGAGTGTTTGCACAACAGCAGAACCTCCACTTTCCTGTATATGAACATTGTTTCTGCATATTTAAAAGGACAATGAACTGGCAGACACTCTCCTGTTCTCCTGTAGTGAGGCAGCAGGTTAGAAAGCTGAGATATGTCTGCATGCAGATCATTCTGATCTCAGACCAGCACAGGAGACCAGCAGAAACTGACAGATCAGCTTGTGTTAAGACACAATTACGTATTTCTTTGTGTGTGTGTTTGTCAGACAGCCATCTGATACTGACACAAACGTGGATGAGAGAGCATGCGTTCTTGTGTTTGTGTGTTTGTTTGTGCGTGTGTGTCCTCTGTATCACTCCTTGTCTTTATAGATAGAGCAGTGGCCCTCAAGGCAGTTTATGAATGTGAATGAAAGAGGTTACAAGCATTTGTGTGTCTCTGGGTGTGTGTGTGTGTGTGTGTGTGTCCAGTCAATTAACCCCGTCTTTAGAGATCCCCCCCCTCCCCTCCTCTGCTCCTCCTTCCCCACCCCCCCGAGGCTGTTTTGCCGCGCCACCACCACACTTTTCACCGTGCAGTGACTTGTCGTTACCATGGCAACAGACTCTTCTTTTTGTTTTTTTGCCTCAGCGGCTGAGGAATGAAATGTCATTTCTTCTGGGCGGTGCTGGACCCTCTGTTAACAAACACACACACGCATGCTTTTTGCGACTACATGACAGATGACACACAGAAACTGAGAGTCTGGATATAAGTGTGTGTTATACATGTTTGAAATAACAAATGCACACACTCACATACATGCACACAGATGCATGAACACACACACAATGCTTTTGAACTTTAGCTGCCCTCCCCATTACATCACTGTCAGACAGATAATACATTATCGCCTCTATACTAACAAAAAGCAGAGCAATTGCCAACTTTCTTTAGTCCAATTTCAGTCCCTTTGATGCTTCAATTTAATTGGCTAAAGCTAATTAGATAGTTGCATGGCGACAAGAATGATGCAATGCTCTTGGTGCCCTTTGAGATCTTGCTCTCTTTGGTCAGAGCTTCACTGTGTGTGACACAAGACAATGGGTTCACGTCATCTCCATGAGGCCATACATGCCTAGGGGCCAAGGTTATGGAAACAAACAAACAAAAACAAGACTTTCACCCATGTGTAGCCCCGTTTAGTGGCATCTGTTTATGTCACTGTGGTTGGATTCATAGTGGAAGTACATCAGAAGCTAGAAGTAGTGTAGGCCACTGTTTCTCAAACTTTTTACACCTGAGAAAATATCAGGCTCTCTGAGGGCCACCACTGAAATACAGTGGCGTATACACTGACCCTATTCAGCTGCAGACAGTTCATACAGCAGGCAGGTTTATTCCTCATAAGAAGATTATTTATTGTTTGTTGTTGAATCCTGCTCCACACTTCTCTTCCTAATAGTTCCTGTTTGGAACCATAGTTGCAGTGTTTTGGAACCATTCCATTACCTTTGGATACTACTACTGATTACTATAACATTTTAGCTTGTAACTAATTATGGATGTGTGAATGCGCTATGTTCATGAACGTGGCAGGCAGATATTGAAACAAAATATTACAGGAGGTGAAAAACTTAGTTTAAATTACAAATGCTCTCATCCTTTAAGTATTTTAATTCAAAATGTTGTGGTATTTTAATAGCATGTTTTCAAATTAATTAATTAAATATCTGCATACCACTAGAGGCAGCTAGCCATACCATACCATACCCTACCATACCATACCATACCATATTTTGAGAAGCAGTGGTCTAGACTGCTGAATTTCTTACGATTTATACTCCTCATATGTATATGGATATGTTTAGCTGCCAAAATACACAAAACAACATATGTATATGTATCTAAATGAATGTCATAAAACTATTTATATTTGAATCCTACCTTTAAAAAAGCCTAAACTGAGTCTATATAATAGCTGTATGAGGCCTAGTAGAAACTGAACAGGAGGTTGTAACAGTGAGACACACTGCATATTTTTCTCTTACAACTGGAGGTTCTGTATAAAACAAGAGATATGAAAATACAATTGGTCATAAATGTCTTTGAAAAAAAAAACTGAGAAAAGATATTGGCAAACGTCTGAAAAGCTCTCTAGGCTATTTTTCATGCACTTCTGAGATGATCCCTGACTTTATCCTGTCTTCTGTCAAGGTCCAGGCTTCATCAGAGGTAAAAATAACATCTGTCAAGCTTTATGCTGCGCTGCAAAACTGCTGCAGAAAACTGATGAAAAGTTATTAAGGTTCCATTTAAAGCTGTCACGATACCAAAAAAGTTTATTTATCAAATGATATTATTGCTTTTGTTTTTAAATACATGGTATCAAAAAAATAGTTCCACTGATGGAAGAACGCCATTTAGTGTTTTTAGCCTATTTGTTAACAATTTGACAAATCTGACAATTCAGATACTGTTTGCATCTGCTCAGAACACAGATCTGTTCATATCTGAATAATGCATTTGTGTATAAAAAAGTAAAGACTTGCAAAGCCACAAGTAAAGCGCGATAAAAGGATGTAAGATTAAACAAGATAATGTGTAACATGACAGCAAATGAAACTATCTGTAAGAGAGAAAATAAACTCAAATGGCTTGTGGCAGACACTTCCTGTTTCTGTTTCTGTCTTCTGCTCTCTGCACTACCTGCGTTTGCCCAGAAGGTTCTGTCTGCATTGCTGACATTTCCCCACAATTGATTTTTTTTTCTCCTTTTACTTTAGACCAAAACACTGTTTCATCTCCAACGTCTGCTGTCTTATCTTTGCAAACTCAAGGTTTGTCTTTTGGCAGGATTCAACTCCACTGTGTGAATGGACCGGAAAAGGACCTATCCACCTTTTAAAAAAAGTGCCAACCAGTTTCATAGAACAGTAAAAAGAAATGGATTGACTAGATGCTTTATAATGGGGTTCGCTGAGGGATAAACCAAAACAAATGACTGATTTTTAAACTAAAGCCCAAGACTGAAACCACATATCCGTTTCTCTATTATTTCCGCTTCCTCCTTCCTCTCTTTTTAGCTACAAACACTTGTAGGGACAGGGACCACACACTCCCTGTCCACCCTCTCATTTCCATCATTCCTCACCATGCCTTCCTTAGCCCTCTAGTTGAAGAGTTTGAAGCTTCAGACAGAAAAAAGAAGGCAGAGTGCACATCTTGCGCAAACTTTTAGGCTTTAAAGTAAGCGAGGAAGACAGATTCAAAAAGAGGAGGCTGGAGGCTTTTCTTTTTGTTTTACTGCTGCCTGACGCCACTGACTGCATCTCTACTCCACCTCCATCACCTCCCACTGAGCTCCTCTCAGCTCTACAGACTAAATCCTGTGTTTTTCCCTCAGTGACCAAAGATTAAAAGCAAGTAACATTTTGTGATTGCCAGCATTGCAAGCCAAAGCAAAGCGTTGCCATTATAATGTCATATACTCGTCAGGAATGGTTTTAATTATTAAAATGACTGTGAGCAATTGGTTTTAATTATTGTCACTGCATGAGCCAATGAGTCATGATGAATCTTCTGAATAAGCCAAAAGGAAATCTTAACGCGATTAGAGGTACAGTGAGTGAGTCAACAGCAAAGATATTAAGTAATTAAAACACTGCAAGCTGATATATTTACTCTTTGCAACAGAAAGAGGCTGTTAAAACAACTATTTATGTGTGAACAATCACTTTTGCGTTGAATAAACTGCCATACACTCTAACTCTCAGCTACTGTGAAACCCTTCTCTCTAAAACATAATCACCCTCATTTGCTTCATCATGCTTGACAGAGCAGCAGGCTGAATTTGCCCCTTCGGTCTTCTCTCAAATGGCTCTCGGCACGCTGTGAAAATGTGTCGGCGCCTCCACTTAATGGCATCCATTATAACTCACTTGGAATAAAGAACTGGGGATGATTCAGCAGACTGGTTAACACTGGTGAAGTGAGGGAATGGGCTTCTCTGCAGCCCTCAGCTCGTCAGTTTGAGTCGGTGGCGCCACCAAGTGGTCGGGATGGAGAATGTGAAATAGGTTCTACCTTCCTCCAGTACCATCAACTTCACCCAGCTCCATCTTTCTAACACAATCAGGGTCTTGGCTTCTAAAAGTGTTGCAGTGTTGTGGTACTAAAGTCGTCCTTACCTCTGTCGTTGCCGCTGGCATACTGAAGAGGCTTGCTCTTGTCGATGCTGTTGAAGCTCTGGCTGCGGCGGTTGAGGTTGGATGAGCCCGGGCTCCTGGAGGCCCCGCTGCCTGCAGCAGGTACTCTGGAGGGGCCTGGTAACCTGCAGGGGGTCACGGTAAAAGAGAGGGGTTGGACGTTAAGAAAACATATTGAAGTTTAACCTAGAATTCCCTTGTGGCAGAGGTTCTCTCAGGCTACAGTCGAGTTAAATGTCAGTGGCAGGAGCATGAAATCATTTTTCATTTGTCACCAGGACATCACAATATTACTTACCCAGAAACAATGTTTGTCTCCACTCCCCTGAGATTGAACTCATTTCTGCTTTTAGAGCAGCTTTGCCTCACACAAGGCAAGTTTTGGATAAATAAAGGCAGATTTTCTCCTGTTGCAGAAAAATCTAGGCTTTAAAGAATAGGTTCACATTTTACTCTGATGCTGAACCTTCACTTCCATTGAAATCATTAGAAAAGGGACCTTTTTCAGGACAGTATGGACAAAAGGAAGAACTCTTTCAATGCAGATGTGGGTATGTGAGTGCTGTTTTAAGGCAGACTTGAAATGATGTGAACCTGTCCTTTAAATTTGAACCCTGGATGGTGTGAAACCCCCGCTGGGAGCAAAAACAGGTCTCACTCCGACTCAAACCCACAGATGAAAGACCATGAGTCCAGCCTTGAGCTGCGCGGTATAGACTCTGTACAGTTAGGCAAAGAAAGTTTGGCTCACTCCAAGTTGAAAGAGTGCTTCCATTGTGTCATGAATACTGACCCTGGGCTCAGTGTGTGTCAGTGTGTAAGATGAAGTGAGATCAAGAGAGTGCTGTCAGACGGTGTGTGTGTTCCCTAGTGAGCTGAGGAAGAAGGATGAAAGAAGGAGGTGAACTTGGAGTTTTGGTGGAACTACGTGACAGAATACAAAAAGTTTGCTTCGCGACAGGTTGATTGAGATCTGTCAGCACTCGGTATTGCATGAAAATATACATTGGAGAATATGTGATGGCTCATTGTGTCCTTCCTCTCTCTCCTCCTCCTACATGTACAGTCACTATTCATTTCTTTACTGACGCTGCATAGAGAAACAAAGGCTTACACGCACACCTACCAAGGAGGTTTGTGCTTTCAGATATTCCCTCTACTCTCCGACAAACACACACACACACACACACACACACACACACACACACACACACACACTTTCACATAATCTTTTTCTCTCGACTAAGTCAAAGCTGCCAGTGTCAAATGTTGATTTGCCATGCTGCAGCTGGAGGATTTTCACGACTCCCATGAGCACTCTTAAAGAATCAGCTCATCAAAAACCTGTTGTTATTGTACAATAATGATACATTGCATCTTTTAATGCACTTTGCCAGATGCTTTCGGCCATCTGTTTGTTGGTAAGTTATTTCAAAAACAGATCTAACATCTGGTTCAAGGATGATGACAAGATTTATGACAACTTAGATCTATCTCATTAATCTTAACTGTTGTGGTTTTGATATGATTTTTATGAACTGATTCCAAAGATCACATTTCAGGTCACAGTCTAGGTGGTCCATACCTGTATATAGACATATTTTGCTCCCTCGCAATCTCTTTATATTGTTTGTTTGCATGTTGTGACTAGACAGCATCCAGGTAAAGTAGAATCTAATCAAAATGTCTGATCAAGGGATAAAAAGATAAGAAACAGTGCAAAACCGCCACAGAGTCTCAGAGCTGACAGACGGCGGGGAACTTTACACAAAAACGTGGGATTAAAGGTAGGTACTGCTGAAAAAGTGGGCACTGCTTATATCAGAGAGCCGTGGGCGCTTCCATTCATAGCCTGCTCTGAGTCAATATTAAGAAGGAAAGACAAAAAAAAAACCTTGAATGGATTCTAACAACTCAGTGTCTTTCTGTCTCCCTGCCCGAAAGCTGTCGTGATGTCCTTTAACAAAGATAATCGATTTGCTACGCTGAATATGTCACTCGCGTCTGTATCGCAGATGGAGCCGAGATGTCGGAGAGGAAAAGTTTTTTTTAAAGAGTGGAATCCTGAAGTGGTCAAAACCCCCAGTGGGGAAAAAAATAACATATTTCATACAATATGTTCCATTTTGTCTCTAAGGGCTTTGCTTAATAAAACTAAACAAATAAAAGGACTGATCGACACGTAGCCTGGTTAAAAAACATCTTGAAACTATCTCCCTACAATGCTTGCAGTGCTGTTTCATTCCTTTGGGGAATAGAAGTAGCTATGATGCACTTCATCTGGGATAGACAAACTTCTCATCTCTATCAGTCAGTATGTCCTGTGTTTTCTTCTAAACTATCAAACATACTTTAAGAACAAGTCAGGTCATTTATTTTGTCACACTGATTCTGTATCAGTCAATGAGAGGAAAACCTGCAACTGATAAGAAAGGCCACAAATGAATAGTGGTGGTATTTGTCTTTTATTTCCCTGGAGTGTCCTATTGGCGCTTTAAGTAGGTCGGTAACATAGCAGAATTAAAAGCTGGTGAGTCCAAATAAAAAAACAAGAACTGACAGTCCAGATACAGTACTAAGAGAGACACACATACTGTTGCTTGTTCCCTACTGTATCAGCTTACAAATCCTTTACATTAAAATGACTATTGTAAGGATTATACTGACCTGATTCAATTTAAAGGACCAGTGTGTAGGAGTTAGTGTCATCTACTGGTGAAGTTTCAGATTGCAACTAACTGAACACATTGTAGGAGAAACTATGGTGGCCATGAAACTAGCGAAAAACATGAAAGGCCCTATCAACAGCTCTTCATTTGCAGAGGAAGGCAGCTCCACACAAACTGATAGCAGTGAAGAAAATTATTCTTGCAGCTGCAGGGCTTTATCAAAATAACCATCTGCTGCATTTTCTGATGCAACAAGAAACACAGAAAGCATATAATAACAAAATTCAGCACTTCTACAGTTCTATTGCAGAAGAGGGACTTGAATGATACTGTGTTTAATTGCATAAGTTTACTTTTGGTGTCTCCCTTTGGAAAATAGAACAAGGCTCAGCGATTAAGCAAGCTGCACAGCATGCAGTCAGAGCAAAACTACCTAATAAGTCAGTCCATGTGCTGAAGAAGCGTGCTAACATTGTTTTATACAGACAATTGTGCATAAAAATAAAATGTGCTTAAGTGCAAAAAATGTGGCATCAAGAAGCAGTAACTGTGCCAGTCCCTCCATTCAGCTGCCTTGAATTTTTTAGAAACCTAAAACATCAGACTGTATGTCTACAGTGGCAACACAAGCAGACTATAGACTGTTTAGAGATGCTGATCCAGGCCTGAGAGGGGAGACTTGGTGCTCCGCCTGAGTGATCGCAAGGAGCTGCAGCCAGAGGTGATCCCTCAGCCTGAAGCTGAAGCTGCCACTCACAGGGCTGAAACACATGGACTTGTACAATACCACATAATAGAAAGAGTGAGAGAGCAGAGAAATGACAGGGAGGGGGAAAAAAGAGACTGAATTTTTATATTCAAATGAAATATCTTACAAAACAAACAAACAAAACACAACCAAAAGCACCTAAAAACACATGCGTACATATGCACACACATGCACCTTATAAGCAGCTGTAGGGCCTTTAGCTCCCACAGGTAAAATCTGCAAGAGAAGTAACAGCAGAGCATGAGAGAGCAAACAATTAAAAAGAAAAAAAATAAGAAGAATTGAAAAAGAACAGGAGAGAATTGAGAGAATGGGACTGAAAGGGAAATAAGTGCAGATATGGAGAGAATCAGAGAAAAATACTGTAGCTGCAAACCCAGACAAGAGAAAATGAGAGATAAACAGTGGGAAAATGAGGGTGAGATTGAGGCAATCCAGATGGAAATCAGAGGGAGTCCCTTTTATCATAAGATTCTTTCATCTTCCAAAATACATGTTTGATAATGCATCTGCAAAATGGAGCTTGTGAGGGAAATGTGATGTAAATTCTGGACAACGGTTTTGTTTTACGACAGACTTGGGGAATCTGACACAGAGAGGATTGCATAGCCTGATGGTGAGGTGAAGAAGAGAGTGGCTGGACAAAAACATTATTCAGCCTGCGGCTATCCACAATTAGTTCTTGTGCTTCCTATTAATTTTCCACTGCCAAGACTTCGCCAGGGAGATTCAAACCGGCACCTTTCTAAATTATGCTTCTACACAAACATCTTCAGTTTGCCCGAGAGCAGCGGGTCTGGAGTTCAGGCTACCTTCAGGGCAAAACTGCTCATTCATAATAGAAGAAACAGATCACAAGCTAGCAGGAGGCCAACAAGCTGTCAAACAGCACCCCCTGCTGCACAGGTGATGAACATTAATGGCCGTCAATATCAGTTTATTAGTTAGTTAGTTCAGAATATCATTTCAGCCAATAATAAACAGATATATTTTACATCATACCTATCCATTTTCCAAACCATTAGAAATGGAACTGTGGATTTTCCACAGTTCCAGGCACCACTGATCAGTATTCACCGCTGTATTTTATGAAAATCAATAAGCAGACTCTTGAACATTGACAAAAATTAATGCAGACTTGATGTTAACTGTGATGGATCACACAACTCAAGTAAGTGTCAAGAGTCTGCTCATTGAGTTTGTAAAAAAAATAATGGAAATCAATGGCTGTCCAGGACTGTAGGAAAAGTACATTCAAAAAAAAAAGTACATTCAAAAATCAAAAAATGCGGGCGCCCGGTTAGCTCAGTGGGTAGAGCTGTTGACCCATGTACCGAGGCTTAGTCTTGCTGCAGCGGCCCAGGGTTCGAATCTGACCTGCGGCCCTTTGATGCGTGTCACCCCCACTCTCTGACCCCCTTTCCTGTCTGTCTTCAGCTGTCACTATAATAAAGGCAATAAAAGCCCAAAAAATATACTTAAAAAAATAAATAAATAAATCAAAAAATGCAAAAATGTGCAGCATAGAGTATACATCATTTGTAGTTAAGGAGATCAACACAAACACAAGTGCCCAGTAGCGCCAGTAGAGAACAGATGCTAAACAAAGATGACCTCAGAGCACACCAAGCCAGTTTATTCAGACCCTAAAGCTTAGCTCTGGTTAGGTGTCTACATCAAAGAGAACCACACAGCGGTTCATCAGGAAAGGGAAAGGAATGAGGACCAACAAGAGGAAGCAACCCATCATGAGATGTGTGGGAATGCATGAGAAGTTCTATATGGGCAATAATCACCAGTTACATACTTGGAAACCCAAACATAAAAAATGAGTTCTCGTCTTGGACCTCATATGTAGCATCTCTCTTTATGCATACTTAACTGACAAGAAGATCAAAGAACATAAATACCATCAAAGAAAGCACAGTGGACATGTATCCGCCAAGAACAATGGAAGGAAGCCATCTGTATGAGTGACTGCAAGTGAAAGGTGCAGTTGTTGCTGCTGTAAAGAGGGAATCTTTAGCTAACGAGGAGGATGTCTCATAAAGAGCTTAAAAAACACACTCCCTTGAGGGAAACACTCTTCACCACATCCAGCACAATATGTGAGAGAAGCACCAATTGTTTTCCCGTTTTAGAGCTGCTGAAACTTTCTTGCCTCGGGGATAGGAGAGGAGACAATTTATGGCGATTAAAAATAACTTCTCAGATGGCAAGAAAGCAATTAAATGTGGTAATCAGGCTGACTGAGAATCAGATGGTAATAGAGTTACACTGTCACCGCCAATATAGAGGTTTTTTGTTTGCATTATGTGTGAAACTTCATATATGTGTGTAGGAATTAAAGGTATTCCTGCAAAGCAGCAGCAGTGAGGTTTGTTGTCAGTGATGTGAAAGGGTAGATTACCACCCATGGGGCAGGAGCTGCTGGCTGCAGCATTTTTGCCATTGCTCAGCGGCTGCTGGAGAGGAATTATTTGCCAACACGCCGGTTCCCACTACCTCTGAGCTGGAACAAATGCTGCAAGCATCAGACAACTGGACTCTGGGGTGTGTGCATACAGTATGTGTGGGTGAATGTCTCATGCACATTACATGCATCTGTTTGTTTTGCTCATATGTACATTCAATGTGTACAGTAGGTGTATGGACTTGCACTAGTGCACATGCCCTTATCAGTGTGAGTGCCCGAATGCTCATGTTTATTGGGACGGTAGGAAGGTCAGTGGCCCTACAGTAGGTGCATATGTGTGTTTGATTTGTTTACCAGCACATGCATGACACCTAGAGTAGCTGAAGCCTGTGGTTCCCTGAATGCTGGCCACAGATAGAGCTTGGCAACACAAAGAGCATCATTATGATGTGTGGTAGCTTATTTAGCAGCAGCTTCTTTGCCAAGATGTGTAAAAGGGCTATTCCCAAAGGGCACATCACACAGAACAGCACTACTCCAGTAAAGAAAGAAAAGAGCTGGACTGAGGACAGAGATTAACAGGCTGAAAGTGCAAGTAAACCAGTGATCCTCAATGTCCTTTTTTTGTGTGATTCTAGAAACCTTTTTGGGCCAAAGGACTGACTGTGCTTATGCAGTGAACTCTCCAGAGGACACTGGTCAGTCAAATCATGTGGGCATGACTGTGACGTCTTTTCTCTCTCTCTCTGTCTCTCTCTCTCTCCCTCTCCCTCTTCTGAAGGTGAATGTTTTCCTCACGTATTCAGGCCCTGCTTTGCAAGTTGCAATGTGTTGATTGAAGTTAGTCCTCATTTCGGTCTGATTCATTTCAAATTAGACATTGTCATTCACTCTAATTATTAACTGAACGCTGCACTTGCTTACTCGTGCTTCAAGGCAAATTACGTACCTTTACAATTATATGTGTGGCTATCTGAGAGCGCTAGCCTTGACGTTAATGAGTGGAACCACCCCAGGAAGCAAAAAACAAAAACAATTCCCAGAAAAGATCCGTCACATTATGGGTGTTCAGAACCGAAAGGGCGAGTTTAATTAGGCTGAATCATGTGTGAAAAGGCAATATGGAACATTATAATGTTTAGCACATAAAATATGTTTGTTTTCATTGTCAGCTGTCATCTACACCCTGCTGAAGAATCCTGGAGCAAAACATGGAATCCCTACCAGCTGCTCACTAGTTGATTCTGACCTTTGACCTCTGAGAGGTGGTACAAGAGAGTCACAAAAAGTGGAAAAGCGAAAAAGGACAAACATGTGCAGCGTCATGCAAAAATAGCCGCTCAGTATAAAGAACAACATAGTGAGAGAATCAGATGAACTAATGAAATACAGGAGGTACACAAAGTATTTGCTATAATTACCTTGTGTTTTTCTTCTGTGGTGACCCTATTCCACTGTGGCCCGGAGGACTTGCATATCGTGCTGTGAGACTGAGGGGAGAGCAGAGAAGATGACGGACAGACAGTTAACACAGCCAGAAGAGGAATGAGACCAGCGTCTAGCTGGAATTTTCTTAATCCATGCCTTAATGTAATAATGTGAGTGAGAGGAGGCATTCAGATAGCAGCAGAGAGAGAAAGAAGAAGCTCATAGTAGGCTACATACTGTAGCACGCCACATTGCTTTGATTTCTCACATGATGGCTCACACATGTTTACTACCACACGCGTATGACTAAGCCAATAACATCCCTCAATCCATTTATAGGGCCGCTGAAATAAAACGGCACGAAAAACTTTCACAATCAGTTTCGTGGTGGCATTGTTTGAAGAAAAAACCCCGAAACACACACCACACGAGGCAGAGGCGAAGGAAATGCCCACAGCACCAGTCACAGTTTATAACCCAGCGCTCACTGTTAGTCATTCACGGAGACGGGAATTAACGCGAGCGGTTACAGACGGGCTGCTCCACTCATGTTTGACAGGAAGTAGTTAAGCTACTTGTAGAGTGCTTTATGAAGACAGAGATGCCTTTAATGATCATATGTAAACCCCGTAAACAATGAAGAGTGGAAGGCCAGGTGGTAGGGCTGTTGTTTATTCCTGTGTGTAACTTGTGTAATGTCCTGTGTGAACTGTATGACTCGCAGACCATGTGAGTGTTTCTCACTTGTCATAAACTGAGTGAACAGAGCATCCATTGAAAGTTAGCTCCTCTGTCAACGAGACATATCATCTCTTTTAACCGGTAGCTCCAAATGCCGTAGGAAAATTTGTTTATGGCTGGATTCAGTGTTAAACCATAATGTAAAAACACACTCAGAACAACAGCATCATTTTAACTTCTGCCAGGGAGGAAACAGTGATGGACATTCGGGCTGTGTCTCGGCTAGCATAACGTTAGCATTCAAATATAACTGATGTTTTTTTGCTTTTTTAAACTCTTTTAACAAAGAAAAATGCTTTTTTTTTTTAAACCAAATTATGGACAAAACTGACAAGCGCCGAAAATATAACCAAAATATATTGCAGTGTTGTGGCAGGTTCGGCTAACGGGTGCTAACATTATTAGCTTAACAGAGTTTTACAAAAGTTGAATAAAGGCTAACAAAAACCAGTTGAGTAACTTGCTTCTTAAACTGGGTTATTTACAGAGATATGAACCATTCCACTGTGAATATTACAGAAAATAATGAAACTGACTACAGGAAAATGGTTGCTAACAAAGACTAGCATAGGCTGGATGCCATAAACTCACAGAGAGGATGAAATAAGACACAGATAAGGTTTTTCAGTTGGTCACATTAGCCTGACATAAAAGCAGTTTTTAAATGAAAGAATATTCCAAACAAATGCTGACAGCACTTCCCACCTCATACAAGACCATTAGATAAGTTAGACACGCTAGCAACAAACAAAGCCCCCCTTTAAGTAGTTTTGAATACTCAAAACAATTCTCTCTTGATACACATTTCATATAAATCACAAACCAACAATTCCAGCTAATTGCAGATTTTATTACCTTCCACAGGCTGAGATAGAAACTTGAGTGTTCCGGTCAGTTCCGTTTGAGCCGCGGTAGTTCAACTGTAAAACCGTCTTAACGCGGTCTACATTGGACCAGAGCAGCTGAGCTTCAGCAGGAGGAAGCAACAAACACCAGCAGTCTGTTTAGACGTCCTTCTTTTCTGACAACGAGGAGGAACAACTTGTTCTCTGTTTTGTGATTGTGGGCTGCTGGTTTGGCGTTGGTGAGTGAGAGTGGACAGAGACAATAAACTACCTATACTGGGTGGCTGAATGACGCACTGCAGTCAGCACATCTTATTTTCTGCTCTGTCTGCTTTTAGTGTGCAGTTCTTAACTTTGCACGAAACTGAATACGGCTTTGAAATTAGACTTTTATATCACATTTCATTTTACGCATTTGGCTGACACTGTGACCCAAAGCGAATAAGAAATGAGTTGAGCAGAACAGTATTTCTAAATATTATGTATTATATTAAATCAATTATACATCCCAGAGTATATTATCAAACATGAGTGTTATAAGGATTAAGGTTCAGAACAAGTACTGGCCGTGACTTTTCTGAAAATCTATTGCTGATGAATATTACGACAGCCTCTTATTCATGCATCACTTCCTCTTACAGAGAGGCACAGTGAACGGAGGACTGGTGCGGATGTTTCAGGCCTTGCTGAGGGGATTTTCAGTCAATATCTTGAAAAAATTTCATCACTCTAGAATTCAAACCAGCCGTGGCAGAGTGACAGCGCCATATTCAACGCTTTGTTCGGAGAGGTCGAACTGTGAACGACAAGGATCGTTTAAGGCGGTGAGCAAAATTTTAATTAGCTGTCTGACGCTCAGAAAGTGTGTCTCTGGGCTCCAACCAACACATTCACATTGCTCGTCTGCCTGTCCACACACACTGCAGATGCACAAACACACAGCGTTTCTCTATTTACGTCTCTCCCTCTGGACAGTTCACCTCATTTTTAAACCACCTGTGATGAAGTGCCGAGTCACTGTACATTTCTAATTGACCTTGCAGGTTTTTTTATGATGCGGTATTATGCTAATGAGCCCCAGAGCAGACAGCAGAACGCAGGGGAAACAAGTTCAGGGCACTTTCCCATTATAGCGGCGAGCACCTTGGTATCATGTTATTAATAAACTATATGATACATGACACTTAGGTTAATGATGTCTGGCTACTAAATGTGTTCTCCTTCGTCCCCCCACCCCCCCACAACCAACACCACATTTTATCTCCCAGTGGTATGTTTTGTACTCTATTAAATACCTTAAATGGCACTTAGCACACGGTAAAGACAAGCTTAGACAGAGATTAATGGAGCCTGTCGCACTCTAAAATGCACTTTCAGCGTTTTGATGGAAAAAAGGGCCGAGCTTAAATGTGTGCATCACATATCAATAAAGGAAAGCTTTTGTCCTTTTGCTTTCTTTCTGCCCTTTCTCTCTTTCTGTTCATACTCAGAGTGGGAGTGCAGTGCAAAGCTGTTAGCAAGGAGGAACGAAGGTTACATTTAAAGGCAGCACAAGTAGTGAAAGAAGGTAACATACAGTAAGTGCAGCTCATGTAGAAGCAGACCACAGTTGTATATGAAAGTAAAAAAAAAAAACTCAGGGGTGCTGTGGTGCACATTTTTCCACCAAAAGACCCATCCTGACCCCCCTCCTCCCACCTCAAACTTTATAAAACGCAATGAAACATGAAGGCAATGGTATAGAGTCCCCAGCCTGGAGTGCTTATCCAACCCACAGCATTTAAGATCTTTCCAATGTGGAAAAAGAGACACCAGAACACATGAGGGCAGGATCTCGGAGTGGGGAAAGGGGACGGAGTGGCAGTGGTGAAGAGGAGAAGGAGAGAGGGGGTACTGTCTGTCACTTTTGATCTAATACAACATACGTCAACAGGGCCTCCGTCTAATACTCCACGACACTGCGGCGCACATGCAAGTGATATTGGATGCCATCACTGTCCTATAAAATGTGTGTAATATCAGTTTCAGCTTGATTGTAGCCGCAGCGCTGAGGGCAGACGCAAACCGATGCGTTTTAGATCCAAAATGGCAAGCATTCAGACACAGAGGCCAGCGCGATGACAGCAGGTAATGGGATGTCATCTGACCTTCATGTCCAGGGGGGATCTGTCCAATGTGGCCCTTTCAAAGCCCAATCAGCTCTCAGGTTGCGACGCTACTTTTAGCATTGTTGCTTGGACGCAGATACACAAAACGTTGCATGTCCATTTGAGCATGTGACACAGTCAACTCAATATCTTCTGTACAATGATGCTTGTTATGTGGCACTATGTTGCACTAGCATCTACAGGTAGCTTCTGTGGAAACTGGGCAACTTGCCTTTATGCTGCATCTCATCTACATTAATGGTTTACATGGAAGAGTCTACAGTAGAAGTTCCATTCTGTAGTAACCAATACATCAAAAAGTCGTCCAACCTTAACAACAAAAATAGGTCTTAGGGTTTAGGGCGCTGACACTGAATCACAACATCCCAAGTTTAAGGTCCAGATTATGCTAGGAAAGAACTTGTTTGTATGATGTGTTTTCTGACCATGTTGGAAGGTTGGAATGGCCACAATCAAAGATGGGGTGAAAAGCCTGCTGTCATAGAGAGGGGAAAATGTAATAATCATTCAACTATGGGGATAATGGCACACATTTCATGACTATCTCCTTGAAGGTGAGTGTTGTATATACAAACAAAGCTTAGGAGAATGAGCACCAGAACTGGAGCCGGGCGAGTGCGCAACGGAACTGAGTTCACAGCCTCCGAGACCGACGGAGGGGAGGTGATTTACAGTGGCACCGACTTCGTGCAGTACGAAAACACACCGGGACAGGAGATGCATGAATTGGGTGAGGAGCTAGTTTGCAACAAGTTCAGTTGTTTCTAACTGTTAATGTTATACATCATCCATCGTATCAATCTCTCTGCAAGTATTTTTGTGAAGTTGGAAGTTATTTATTACGTGTATTGAACGGAATCAGGTTTATTGCCATGTAAGTTTTCACATATGAGGAATTTGCCTGGGTACACTGGTGCATAAGAATCACAATCAAGTGTAGAAAAATATAAATAAAGATAAAAATTCAAAAAAAGGAGCCACTATATACAACTATAAAGAGTGAGAGAATATGTACAAAATGGATGGATACCTAAAGCGCAACTTGAGTGATGTTAAACTACGTTGAAATACATGTTGGTTGTTCTGATATTTAAAATAATGTAATAAACATGCAACGACTAGTCAACTATTTGCTTTAACTAGTCAACTAGGAAAATCTTTAGTCGGGGCAGCCCTTCAGTAAACAGTACAAAATTAAATGTAGCTATATAAATTTCTTTTAAGCTTGATGAAGCACATAGTTACCAAACTAAATATAAAAAGTGAGTAAAAATTTTTTTTTGTTTTTCCAACACTTTGTCTTGGTGATGGCGCATACATACATAGATGCAGTACAAAATTGGACTAAATGTGTAGAACTCCACTTATCAAACAAGCCGTTTGCAATAGTCTCACTGACAGTATCCCATAACAAAGATCAAGATCATATCCATATCTATGTACTAACAAGCAATAATAAAAAACTAAACACCAATCCATGTATGATTAACAAACAGGAACCATTTACCAGTTCATGATGCCACTGACACTAATCCATCCTCCTTATATCACCAGAAAGATCCAAAAGCTGTTGCCTCGACGTTACCACACACACACACACACACACACACACACACACACACACACTGCACAAGCTAAAACTGTACCTAGGAGACGAGTCAGGCTTTGCCAGACTGGTAGCTCTCCCATAAGGCAAACGGCTCTTCCTGTCGCGAGACACGGCGGTAGGCAGGCGCGAGGAGCGCCAGACCAAGGGGTCAACTTGTTCGCCCCGGGACATGGTGAGTTAAAGAGGGTGGGTTTGCTGTGCCCTGCCAGGCCTGGGCCCCCCTGCCTTCTAAAGCACTGAAAACCTCCCGTGGCTCCAGGCTGTCGTGATCTGTCCAATGGGGAGTTCCCCTCCAAAACACACACACACACACACACACACACACACAGTGACACACATCTCATCCCCTACCCCAGAGACACCAGTTAGGCCAGCAGGTGCTGTCTATAGAAAGCTCCCCATACCACAACTGTAGATGTGCTGTAGGCCAAATGTGAGCGTGTGTGTCTCTGTCTGTGTAAATCTGTGAGACAGATAATTTGCTAGTTTAAAAAGATTAACATTTTTAATTTAAAACATCCATTCTTCTGGCTTATCTTATATTTTATGAAGTTACTCAGACATGCTAAATCTTCAGGGTCGGCTAGAGCTTACAGAAATTCATCACTGTGGAAAATGAGAAATTAGAAAAGATTTTGTGTGAATACATCTAATTACATTTCAGTTTTTCCAAAGATGGGTGAAAAGGAAAAGGAGCCAGCACACCAGCCAGGCATGAAACCTCAATCAAAAGAACATTACAAATCTTTATTTAAAGTTGACATGGCACAATAAGAATAGAGCAGAGGAAGCAAACTTTAACATCAGACTATCATCAGTTTGTGCAGTGGTTACTAGCTGCTTTAGATACAGTGGATTCTTCAAATAAACTCAATTCTGCACAGTTTAGGTGAGACCAGCGCATGTCTTTAGTTATCATCTGATTTAATGAGCAAAAAGGTATCCTCTGGTGTCATATAAAGACAAATGAAAGATAACTGACTTTTTACAACTTTAAGGTTGGAAAAATGTTTCTCACTATCTGACAGTATAATATATATTCTGTACCAGCTTGCTGTAGTTCATTAAATGGAAAATCTTTACAGTGAGGGAAATCATTCCATCAAATTGAAATATTCTAGATGTCTTTTACACTGTATTGTATTTTGTTCACATTTCCCTAAAAGTCAGTCTAACATACTGTATTTGAACACAGTGATCTCCGCTAGAATTTAAATAAAGTTCTGTGGGTTTAAATGATGTTTTACTGCACAGCACGAGTTCGTAATGACTGAGATTTTAGGGTGGATTTTTCCTTTACAAATAATGAATTCTTAAAATAATTATGAATACACAGTACAGCAGTGTCACTGCATTATAAGAGCTTCCCATAAAACATAATTAAAACCCAAGTGGATGTTGTCTGGGATTGTTTGCTAGCAATGTAAAGAGGAGCATGCGATGCAACACTTAGTGGGATTTGGTAGACGTAGTAGCAAATTATCTTTGCCTGACATCTGATTCACACACTCATGATCATCTGGCTCATTCTGCCTCTACCACACACACACACTCCAGAAACATTGGACTGATATAAACCACCAGCACAGTGAGAGTTCATAATTTACACTTTTCCAAACTTCAGAGATTTATACTGACAGTGGCTTGTCATTGTCAACCAAGCCAAATCACTCTATACCTCCAGATTGTTCTTTCATACTACAAGCAACATTTTTTAATCCTTTGCCTGATTTCTTTCCCTTGGAAAGGAACAAAATTCATTCTCTACACTTTTCCAGAGTTTCTCGAGCAATAGAGAGAGGCTGAGTAGCCCAGACGTCCCCAAAAACTCACAGATTAATGGCTTACTTTATCACTGACAGACATGGAGTGATCCTCTGACCTCCGCTGTGGCCTTCAGCATTCAGACGTGATTAACTTATCAGCCCAGGGGAGTGAGACATTACTGGGACTGTGGACAGTGAGGGCAGAGGGTCTGTTTGGAAATTAACTCAACTACTTCACAGAGACAGTCTTGAAAGAAGACCTTCCTTCATGAATTTATATGTTCTCCTTCTCATTGGTGAGGAAACCTCAAACATCTCATCACATAATACTTCAGATATCTCTCTACCAACTTGTCATCAGCCACTTTCTTGTATTTTATGATGGTGAAAAGTGCAACTTCTGTAATGGCTTTATAGGTATGTGTGTGTATGTGTGTGTGTGTGTGTGTGTGTGTGTGTGTGTGTGTTGTTTGGGCATGCTTGCCAAGCAGGACTGATGCAGCCGTGCGCTTCCAAATTCACTGTTTGGTGTGTACGTGTATGAGAGAGTTCTCCACCTGTTGCCGGGGGGAGGCAGGAGTGTGGGAATGGGAGGCAGCTGTGCCCCTAATAACCCCACCACACATACAACCATATGATACACTGACCCCATCGCTACCAGCTCCTAACTCGTCCAAACAGAGTGAGGCTAAAGCGCTCCACATATCAACTTACTCACATATCCTCTCCCCAAGCGCTGAGACTGACTGCTCTGATTGCACTGATTTTATGCACATACACTGCCACAGACTCACTCACACACAGACACACAGACACACAGCACTGTCAACCAGAGCGGCCGTGCTGTAACTTGATCTGGTCAAGGGGAATGCTGCTCATGTGTGGCATGTCAGGCCTTCCTTTAGATGCTCTTCTAAGACCTTCTCTGTCTATTTACATCACATAGGGCCAGGCCTCTTTTGCTTTTACTGCCTTTTACTGCTTAGCTGCCTGTATGCCAACACTTCTACTGTCCAATGCATGTCTTCATACTATGAAGCACCTCATAAATAAATATGAACTTCAACTTGTAATCCTGCAACTCAACATCTCTTCAGGTGTGTGTGTGTGTGTGTGTGTGTGTGTGTGTGTTTGATTTATTTGACTGTAAAAATCGATTCAGCAGAACCTGAGATATCCTCTTTTTTTATACAACGCATGAGTCTTCTTTGTCAAAATCTGGCACCCACATTACCCACAATGCAACATGACCACTGATAGTTCCGCCTGGGATTTGGGTATGTTATGCTAGTAGCTGCTAATGTTGCCTCGAGCTGCTAGCCTTAAGCAAGGAGCAGGAGACGTCTAGTAAGCTCACTTTTTTCTTACCCCATAACACTTCGGACCCAACCAACGCTGACTTGAGTGACATCACTTGAGGCAACTTATCAGACAAGCACCCCGGGAATGGAACTGGGCTGTGAAGTGATTTTGGCGTACTTTGACGTTCATTACACAATGCACACTGGCCCCAAGAAAATGTTTCCTATACAAATACGGAATTGGATAAAACAGTGATGAACACAAACCCCCAGAAATTGTATTATCATAATTTGATCCATTCAGTCCAATAACATTCGGAAAGTCTGATCTTATGATTCTATTATAGCACAAATGCATTTTACTGAGCCGCACACTTCTATTACCAATATGTGTCAGCTTTTTGAAGAGTGAGATAATTTGCTTTTAGGCTGCTATTAGGTTAATGCTAACATTTACTTATTATTTTAAACATAAGGCTACAGCGAGCAGCTCTTTGACATATTATATCTTGTTTGTTTAGTCCGTACAAAAAGTGTAAAAATGTCAATTTTGCCATTTTATGGGGGGTTTATGTTCTGGATTATTTGTTGGTAAGTGAAGTTTGTGAACTTCAGACATGACAAGGCTAGCTGTATCCCCCCGCTGGCAGTCTTTATGCTAAGCTAAGCTAACAGGCTTATAGCAGTAGCTGAGATTGGTAAAAATATTGTAATTTAATAATCTCTCTGTATTTAACTGTAACTGTAACTGTATTTGGCACACAATCGGAGGCTAGGACTCCATTAAAAATGTAAATCTAATGTAACCACTCTGCTCTGGAGTCAGCCAGCTTGACTCTTCCCTGTCAAAACTCCCTTATGGAGCTGATGCAGCAAAAGCCCTAATGAGAAACATTTTCCATGAAGGCTGTTATTCATTTTCAACACCACTGAGAGGCGGTCATATCCATCAAATTCCTGTTTACAAAAACTCTAACTGGACCTAATTAAGCATCCAAAAGCAATAAATCAGTCGACCTCTATTCCAGCATGGATCCTAAAAAATAATTGGTCCACTAATTCAAACCAGTGACATTAGCTTGCTTCTGTAACCTCTAGGCTACCTCTGCACCAAATGAGACCCAAACCATCACCAAACTACTGAAATGCAACAACCTGGAGTGCAACGCACCTGGACTGCATCTCTTGTGTCTTGAGGCTGCTGGCGGACGGTGCAGTGCTGCTGGTCTGCTGGCTGAGCTCCACCAGGGACTGGTAGTACTGCTGCTGTTGCTGCTGCTGCTGCTTGTAGCGAGACAGGATGAAGAAGAGACCCAGGATGCTCTTTAGGTTGCCATTCCTGATCTCTGGAGGGACAAAAAGGAAAGTGTCAGCATTGACTTTATGCTGTGACAGTGCTACTATTCAGCATCAGTGAGGTACAACCCCAACCCTCCTGTAGAACAAAGGCATTCTCTTGAAAAAAGAGTCAGTTTCGCAAGTGAAAATGGTGCATGACTTGTTTTTCATTTGTCTAGTGTCCTGTGACGCTAAAAATGAATATTTTCCAGACCATTTATTGTATCTTTCAAACACTGTAAAGTGAACATATGTTGACTTTTTAAAAAAAGCACTTGGGGATAGAGCTCAAGTGCAGCTGTTGTGCAGCAAGCTTAAGAGTTTTATAAGAGTAATTATACACTGGCTTTAACTGATACACTGTATATAATATGCAGAGTTATAGCATTTACCGTTCAGAGTCACTTAATTGTATTCAGCATGAAGTAACACTTACTCTGTATAGGAATAATTTAGGCCACTGCTCACAAGAAGAACCAGTTGTCATCGATCCAGACTAAATCATCTGCTCACATACATGAGCTAACACACAGCTGGTTCATTTAGGAGTGACACTCAGCATGAGAACGTCTGGACTGGTGTCTAACCGGCAGACGTCTTGTGTGAGAGGATAATGCTGAGGCCAAACAGCCAAAAATATACAACAGGAACTTCAATTACAGTTCTGCTTTTGCCATGAAACGAGGAACTGAGTATTTACAGGTGCCTTTGGTGTAGCGGTGGGATGATGGCATAAGGGACACATTTCTGTGTACTGACAATGGTGAAAAACAGGAACAGCTCAGTTGGATTTCACTATCTAAATGGCAATTAAGTGTAATGAGCTAGAAAACAGCAGCAGAGATACAGGCAAAAGAAAGAAAGAACACACTGATCCAAGATGTATTCATATTGTAAATGAACTCAAAGGAAGTATGTATAAGAATTAAAGAGATTATATTCCGGTTGTGGGTATAAGATCTTCAGGACACTTCAGCCCTGCAGATAAAGTTACCTTTTAAATATGCTGAGCTGGCAACAGAAAAAAGCCCCTAATCAATGAGTAACTTTGTCCGGAGTGTTCATCTGATCCTCAACAGTTCCTGAGTTCATCCCAGACAAAACTCAAACCAATGCATCTCTCACAGGCTCCTTCACACACAGCCAGGAGGGGATTCAGCAGTCGCAGAGGAGAAAGAATTGATCACTGTGGCTAACGCACCCATTTGTGAAATGGACTTTTCGTATCAAACCCTCAGTGAGAGCTGGCACACGGAGGCACTGGAAGGATAGCAGCGGCTGACGCAGGGCTTTTTACTCCATTTTTCAATCTGGCAAGGCTCAAACATTCTCCCCCAGCCATCCATGGCTATGCTGTTTGGAGACTGTGAAAGTTGGAGAAGATTAATCTCTTGGGGGTGTTTTCCATTTCCCAACACCCAGAGGCAGTAATTTATACTAGGCCTTAGAGAGAATCTGAACTGCAGCGTTTTCTGTGCTTTAGGGAGAAACAATGTTGCAGATTCAGCCGACCAAAGAGCCGCTGTGGATTGAAACTTGTGACAACTGGTAAAAGTAATAGAAATGATAATGATGAGGACACAAGGAAGAATAATACTTCAGCAGTCCCAAAGGGGAAGTTGCCCTTGAGGTGAGGGTCGGCTATAGAACAAAGTATTTTATGTCTTACTCAAGGAAACTTTAGCAAGGTGTAGGTTTGCACCAAGGTTACATTACCAACTGGGAGATTCAGCAACTGTCCTGGGCCCCAGAGGTCCAGGATTGCTGTTTTATGTTAATTCAGCTGAGACAATGAGGCCCTTAAGGTGGGTCCAAGCCCTGTTTTGATGACCCTATGCCAAAATATAGTTATATGTCCTCCATGATTTCCACTCTGTGCTTCTATGTTGCAAAATCCTACACATTCAATCAAAGTACAAAGACTGGGAAGAGTGGGGTGTTAATGGGGCAAGCATTTCTTTTCAACTAGTTAAGGATAATCTGGTCCTGATACTATCTCATGGGAGACAGTTCAACAATGATACAACCTCTTCTAACATCACTCCATCTATCAGCTTGGTGCCTTACAGATGTAACTGATTTAGAAATGTTTGTTAAAGTGATGTTGCTCTTTGGCTCTCTGGTACAAGAATCGCGGTGGATGGTTAGCCATGCATGACTTTGACACTGGAGATCTGAGATTGTGTCCCAGATGTGGTTAGGGCTAGGCAACTAAAACAATTGGTTAAGGTTAGATAAAGATTGTGGTCTTGGTTAAATATTGAAAAAGTCAACTCAGTGATACAGTAACTTTGCAGATATGTTCAATGCAAACATTTCATCATGTTGATATAAAAACATACAAAGTGTATTAAACAATGCAAAGTAGTTGTATATAAACATGATTTTATAGACAGTTCTCAGCCAGCTCCTGCTTTATCTTGTAAGTATTTTGATGTGGCAGCAGGATGTTCAAAAAATAATATTCTGCAGTTGTAAAGTCGGATGAATGCAGGACTAATACATAAAAAGGGACTTTCAGAAGTTGCTTGAAGTTAACTTGAAGCACTCTTACTGGCACCTTACTGACATTTTCTTCCAAAATGATGTAGGAGATATGAGCACTTTATAGTTATTTTCTGCTTTACCATCAATTGTCTGCAGCTCAGCTTGTCATCTGGCCAAAGCTCTGTAACTCTGTCGGCTGAAATTGTATTGAAAAACCCTCACAAGGTGTCCCCTTTTGCTCTCTTTTTCGCACCATTTTCAAGTTTCTGAAAGTTTTGGGAGCAGTTGTGATAGAGAAAAAAGATAGCTGGAGTCTGTGAGACAGCAATAGGACTTTGGGAAAGCTCCCATTAGACATTTTGTCAGCAATACACAGCCTTTTCATCCGCTGAAAGCAGAAGGGCTCTTGCCGCTATGGAGCAGTGTAGAGGATAAGTGTTTCTGTTTGGCTCACGCTCAATGAAAATGTGCCTTTGCCTTTTAAGTGGTTGACGTGGTTTCATTCAGTCTTTTTTTTTTTTTTTTCTTATTTGGAGAGGTTAGTTCATGAGTCACAGAGGACTCTGGAGGAGGTGAAGGAAAGGTTTGAGCATGGCTGGGTGATACAATGAAGAAGACTAAAACTGTGCAAGCATTTAAGGACTGCGTATTCTGTCTTTACCTACTTAATAAATCTTTCTTGGGTTTAATCCCCGGAGAATAAATGTCCAGCCAGGGTTGTTCTTTAAACTCCACAGTTGGTTATGTCTTTGCTTCCGTTGCTACCCTTGGCTTCTTTCTGTAAGATGGTTTTAATTCCTTTGTTTGACTTCAATTTAATTCTGGGTTCCTAATTAAGATTTCAAACAACTAGGGTTCCACTTTTATGTTTTGTCTTCCAGGCCAGTCTGAAAGGATACTAAACTTTACCTTAAAGCTTGACCCTCGCCCGAGGCCTCACCTTCTGGTCAGAGAACAAGGCTGTACCCCTTTCTGACCCAGCACACATCAGCGTTTAAGTGGACTAATGAAATCAGACCTACTTTTAAAAAAACTGCACCCACTGAGATCAAGCAGGTGAGACTTTATTGTGGTGAGAAGGTCATACCGTAGGTTGCCCGCTGGCACTACAACCAATAAGAGCCTGCCCTTCTGAGGTCTCAGCTGCAGAGACCCTGCAGTGGAAAGAGGCTTTAATGACCTGTTGTAAGGACCCCTCACTGTAACCCATTATCAACTGCAGGAAATGTGTGTTTTTGAGCTTTACACCTATTCTTTTTAAGGCTGGTGCCAGTAGACAGAACTTCCTGTGGATAATTATCACATTTCACGTAGTAAAACTTTTTTTTGTTGTTCGTTTTGATGAAACTCTTTAGTGCTATGGGGTCAAGAGTGAGTTTGAGTTTGAGTAGGTGGAGCTTTTTTCCAATATAACTTGACTAAGAGTCTGCTGTACTTGTGCAGAGGGGTGCTTGGAGCGAAACACATGTTCACAATAACAATGCTAACATGGTTTTGTTTAGCAGATATAAAGTTAGTTAGTTATCTTAGTCTAGTCTACTAATGATAACAGACGCTAACAACTACATATAGAGATATTTCCCAGGATAAGTGAAAACTTGCTTGCCTGCTGGTAGTATATGAAAAGTCAGGGGTTTATCCTCTAGAGACAGTACATTCTATAGTTGTTAAAATCAGTAGTTTCTTGACCGCTCAACATCAGATTCTTATGATCTGGATTTTGATCTTTAGATGTACTAGTCACTAAGGTCACTGCCATATTTCTCGGTAGCATTATTTTCTTGCATAAAAAAAACAAAACTATTTTTCTACTTTTAATTATGAACTATAGCCTCACTTAGCGGAAATAAGTCTGTTGAACAAGATGAGTTTTTCCGGAACCGGTTTACAGCCTCCCACCAGTGAGATGCAAGGGGACTTCTAGAGAGGTTATTACGATAAGTAGGCTCTCTCAGGGAAAAATAAAATCCTGTGCTTGCATGCACATCAAACATTCCACTTTGTTTTATTCCCATGTCTTGTAAAAAAGATAATAAAGACTGCATATGCCAGCCAACAGAATCTGGATATCCCTGGTCTGATTCAATTAGACATGAGAGGGCAGACTTGGCAATTTAATTCAACTCACAAACACACGCAGCACGTGCAGACTAAGTCTTGACAATAAGGCTGACAAAGAGCACGGGAGAGGAAGATGCACTGAGTGTAGAGGGTGATGAAACGCAGCAGCAACAGAGATGGACAGAGTAACCCAATAGCCCATATATTTACAGACCCACTTTGAAATTCCAAGCCTAGTGAGTCACTTTGCTGTTTTTAGTGCTGTAGTGGAGGTGGGGTTTGGGGGAGGGGGGGCAGAATTTAGAGCTGTCGGTCAGTGTGTCAGACTGTCAGACTATTATTGCCGCCAGAGAGGTCAAGGGCACACTCACCTCTTTAATGTTTAGAGGGGAGCAGAAACAACTGGGGGTCTGGGGCAGGCACAAGTCCAAAATAACAGCTGGAGACAGTTTCTGCTACAATAATCGAGACATGCCTGTAGGTACGGGACTCTATAGCATAACCCAATCAGAAAGAATGAGGTTAGTTTATTTCTTGACTAAATATAACATCACCCCTTCTTTTTATAAAGCACTGTTGACATGTTGATTTATAGATATATTATTAAATCAAGGCCAATGAATTTACAGTGTATGAGGTAAGTAAAGGGCAATGACACATGTGGTATACGACATCATCAAAACATCCATTCCTTTCTTTACTTTCCATGTCTACTTTGTGGAACCGCCATGTTTATACAGTAGCCCAGAATGGACAAATCAAAAACGGGCTCTAGATAGGGCTCACAGCCATAGTTTCACCTACACACTTGGAAGGGGAGGGTGATACGAGTGGTTTTCAGATGGTTGCAATGTGCAACTTCACCACAAGTTGCCACTGAATCCTACACACTGGACTTTCAAGTTAAATAGACCATTTAAAAAAACTTATCTGAAAAATGCTTTGTCAGAAAGCTGAAAACAGGCCTGTTGTTCATAGATCACGAAAAGTTGACATTTTAGAGATACATGGTTTTAACAGGACAGCAACAATTTGCTCTACATATTGGGACATGCTAGCTACTGAACCTTGAGTACTTACGGCAAGTCAGGTGCGTGCTACAGGTGTCAAATGGGACACATGATGCAACCGTTACGCGCCAGTGTGTGTTTTCTTTAAGTGAAGCTCTTTTCGTGCAGTGAAAAAAATGACTGCAGTTGGGGTTCATTTACAAGCTTTGAGGGAATCTTGGGTTGCTCCTGCAGAGTCAATATAAAGTGTAAAACTAAATCAAAACACATAGTTTGGAACTTAACTGTAATTTTAACCCTGGCCTTGTGAGACAGTTTTAGCTGTCATTCAGCACAGAGCACCGCTGTAGTCACGGCTGCCATATAAGCCATGTACTGTATACCCTGATGGTCGGGAGGCGAATCCCTCTCTGGAGTTTTTATCCTCCCACAATCCCCTTTGATGCCCTAATGATTGCCTACACTGCCATAGTGAAAGCTTGAGATGGAGAAACCCGTGCACCCTGCCATGATACCAACGTGGTAAATTCCATTGCTGTGATGTATAATAGTATGTCTTGGTTTTTTGAAGATGTTTGCTGCTGTGAAGAAATGGAAAGCTACCCACAGAGGTTTGGGTGGTGCTGGAGCCAAATTCGTTTTCCAGGTCCAGAGATTAGAAATACAACAGGGAGATCCCTCTTCTGCTGCTCCACTGATTCAATTAAGAGTTTAAGCAGGCATTGAATTGATCATTGTTTATTCTTCTTACCTTCCGCTGAGAGCCCTTGTACGTTCACTCCTCTGGCGTCCAGGAAACTGAGGCAGGCGTCCACATTCTCGATCTATGGAGAAGACGGCAGACAGTCAGCACAAAGGACAGACACAGCAAGAATGTGACGACACTTAACATTCAATGAGCCTAAATGTCTCAGGCCAGAGGGCTCAGAGGACGGGGACGATCAGCATTATTACCCATAAAGCACATCATTGTGCGGTTATTACCCGACCCCCGCTTAACCCTGGCACCAGGCTACATGACATACTGACCGCAGTGTGACGCCACCTACACAGCCCGGGGTGCAGCGTGCTAAGGCATGTCACACACACGCCCATATACATCCACACTTTACATACAGACACTAGAGGGAAATATACGGTAAATTCACATCCACGCACACACCCACACACATTTGCACATAGGCACAGGGTGTGTGGGTCGGTGTGGCCCCACTTGAGGCCTTTCACAACATAGCCAACAACTGTCACCCCTGCAAACTGGTTTCAGTTTCACAAAGGCCCACTGAGGTTGCAATTATTAGGGGGATTTTTGCATTCCTTGACAGTGGCTAATGGGTGGCTTCATTTGCATGGTGGCGAGCAGCCAACGCCCCTCAGGAGGTCTGTTATGACGAGTTCAAAGGTCAGAGTGCTCGGCTTTAGAGCAGTGTGCCAAGGCCACACAAAGGGTAGGCCAGGGCAACTCAGCCAGACGTCCAGTAGGCAGTGATGATTCATGAGCTGTAAGTCTACTCAGCTCTCTGCAGCTCTCTCTCTCTCTCTCTCTCTCTTTTTAATGCTCTCTCACTCAGTGTCCCTGTATCTCTTTATTAACAGGAGGGAGATTTTGTCAGAGCTGAGCATGATAATGAGTCATATCTGCACACAGACCGTTTGGACTCTTGTTGATTCTTTTCTTATTCCCACTGAGCTGAACTCCATTGTCCTCCAAGGCTTAATAATGTGCATTTCTGTGACATTTTATTCAACTGAGAGAGTTCGCTCTGTCTTCATGTAGTGAAAGCCAGAGGAGATGGGCAATGGTTTGATCTGAGACGAATCTGTACATTGCTTGAAGTCCTTTTCACCATACTATTTAACTATCACAACAAATAATTTGATGTGGTTTTCTCCCATTTTGCATGAGAAATGACATGCAAGACCTCCTTTGACTTTATACATCACAACAGCGACAACAGAGAGAATTGTTTTATTGTATATTTGCATGCAATACCTTTCATTGCTACAACCAAACAAATCTGGCCTGATCCCGAGTAAAACCTCAATTAATGTGAAGAATTCAGTTCAAACATAAAAGTTAAGTTAAGTAATAGCCATGCAGATGGTTTTGATTTTATTAACTATTGCTTTGAATTTTCTGCTACCACCCTAATACAAAGGATATGAATGTAATCTTTGTTTGTGGTGGACTGAAAAAAATTATCTAACAGAGTTATTAACAACTTTCAAGATACAGTGCTTGTTATTTTACTGGAGCCACTTTCCACATCCGGACTTCAGTCAGCCAACTCACATGGAATAGATCATATGTAAATGTAGAATATGTACAGCGTTGATATTCGGCATCTACGAGGATGTCACTCCCCACAAGGAAGCACCAGGCTCAGCACAGAAGGGAGACTCACATCTAGGTGGACTCAGGTGGATTTTTGAGATGCTAAGAGAACAACAGCGGCAGCAGCAAGTGCAGACTGTCCTCACAAGGAAAACAGCAGCATAATTTATGACAGCGAGTGCCCCAGAACGACATCTGTTTACATTCAAGTGACAAAGCTTCATTATGTTTATTGTGTTGTATTGTGTATGTTTATTATAAGGTCCCCCAACCCTAACTAAGACCTCATTTCAACCCAAACCATAATCTCTCCTAAACCTAAAAGTGGGTTTTGAAACCAAACCTTCACCAGATCCTAAAACTAATTTATCATTTTTCAACATTAGCTATGTTTACATGGCGATTATAATCGAAAACATCCAAACAGAATAAAAATGCACCATATAAAGACCTCCATAAGAATAAACAGGCCAAAACCTTTTGAAATATCAGTTGGTTTTTAACCTGATTAATGCATGGCTGCCTTCTTTCTGTGAATGCCCTCAGTCTTGATGTCTTGATTCCAAGCCGAACTGGACCTGCTGAGAGTTAGTTTTTGATACAAACTCTTAAAGAAGTGAATATTATTGGATGCCTAGATGGTAGGAAAATAAAAGTCCAAGAAAAAATAAAGGATGCTGGGACAGACCAAATGTATTGAACAAATTAAACTGAATACAACCTCACCAACTTCCTGTTTTAGGAAAGCACAGACAAATTCATCTCTTTTGCTCATGTCACACAGCTGTTCCAATTCTGCGTCTGTATGTGTAAACACCTAACCAGATTAGATCACATCCCATGTAAACAGTTGACCTGAAATCTTCAATTGGAATGATTTTAATCAATGAAAGAAGAAATGAAAAAAGTCTGAATGTAACTGCAGCTACACGCATAAAAGCACAGACAAAAGACTGATAGTGGCGTCAGATCAGAAAAGGCTTGTATGTGTTCAGGTTGTGAACAAACAGCGTATTTTCAAAGAGTGAACAGAACACTGGTCTGCACATTCACACTGTCCAACACAACCACATCCACAACTACAAGCCTCAGAGCAGCTGCACTGTGGATCAAACACTTTGCTCAAGGGCACCTGCAGTATAACTGTTGTTGAAGAGGAGCACCTCCCTCCCTGTCACTTTCTCTCCACAGACTGATATGTTTACACTGGTTGTCTCAACAGGGAGCCCTGTGGGACAATCAGTCGCACACAGAGCCTCTCCATCTGCCTAACACAACTCGCTACCTCCCACTTCCCGACACCGCACGCATTCCCACAGCAGGCACCAAACGCCCTCACATGTGGGCTCCCACATTCTCTTCAAACATGCGGCACACACAGACTGACACATGCGTGCCCGGTGCTAGCTTGTTTGATTATCCCACACAAACTCTCAGAAGTTTGTACGTGGAGCGACATGTGCTGAACAGCGCTTGTGAATGCTCATTACTTCCGTCTTAATTAGACTGACCACAAGGACGATGTAGGATGTAACAGTTCTCCCAAAATAAACAGCCTATAGGCACAGATGATATGTAATCAGCAGCATTTGCATGATAACAGCCATTTTTTATCAAGGGACAACTCAATTAGGCTCATTCAGTTTCAAATATTTACAATAAAACGCTTGGGAGGCCTTGTAGCATTTTGCATCTGTTGCACAGGCAGTGGAACAGTGTGTGTTTGAATGCTGGTGTAATAGCTGATAAAGACAAAAAGGAGAGAACTCATAAACACACAGTAAAGCTCTGTAGTTGGAGATAGAGCTCTGTCTTTTTTAAAGGCATCTCTGCTGAAACCCTTCTTCCTTCAAGCCTTCAAGTGACACTGCAACCAGAAATTCTGAGGCTTTTAGATGAAAACCGCTGTTTGTTTTTAGTCGGCCTTAACTCTAAAATGACGCAAACAAGCGGAATAATGATTGAAGGCGTTGATGACGGCGGGGGCATTAATGTTCCGCAGGGCTCTGGCGATGTTTAACTGCTAGTTTGGTGGGCGGTTTGGCTTTGTGGCATCCTGTAACAGCTTCTCGAGAAACAGACATCATTTATTTTTCCAATGCAGGCTGGCATCAGACAGATCCACAAAAGCCATTAAAAGCAATTTGGAAAAGGGCATTTTGATGAGGCACACTTCACCCAATCACTGGGTACTTAGAGCAGGAAAAAGGGAATGCATTTCGAGGAGTGACAGGAGAGCATGTGTGCAACATGCAGTGCGGGTAGGAAGGTTGCCACTAAGCCTGGAAGAATAACGAGGGGGAGCTGTTAAATTTCTGTGATAATCAGGTTCAATTAAGCTATGTTTCAATTACAGAGCCACAGTACAAATCAAAATATCACGTTCCAACTGACATAGGCAGCAGAGCGGAGAGACGCGCGGCTGGGCGACACAAAACCGGACTCCCTGCTTCCACCTGTCCCCCACCATCTCCCCTGAAATCACTGATGAGTTTGCATCAGTACTGTATTGTACTGTAAGACAGAGGTAGAGACTGAGGGTAAAGATAGAGGAGGGGGTCAGTTGAGTTAAAAATTGCTTTGTATCCATTACCATCATGTACAGCGCACAAGTCTTAGAAAATAGAATGAAATCCACAGGAAATAACGACTGACAATAACCAAGAAAGTCTTTTTGCATGGCTGCTTCACTTCACTGGCATTTTTGCTAACAATTATCAAATGCGCACTGTACAGTTTCAGATCTTTGCATGTTTTTTCCTTCTTTTCCCAGTTTTCATTAATTAGCTATTACGATTTTGCACTAAAACTGCAATGCCCAATGATATGGTATCTTTGAAAAATATGAATGCAGACACAACAGGTCCAACAAGTCCACTTAATTAGTGTAAGTTTCAAGAGTCTGTTCACTGATTTTTTTTTTTTTACAACAGAGACATTAATGAAAACTAAGGGCTGCAAAAATCTAAAATCAGCATTGTTTGGTTAACTGTGTAGTAAGATATATATGATTTTAGTGAATTAGCTAAAAAAAAATGCAAAGCCACTGTTATGGTCCTTAACATCTCTATGTGAAACTCCAATTTTACATTTTTGCACTTTGAGAAGAAGCAGAGCAGAGAAATTGGTTGCTACTAGCAGTCAATAAGACTAGAAAACTGTTGAATTTGTTTTCACTTAATCTTTTAAGCAGTTCTTTCTTCCATTGAAAGACTAGTTTGAACTCCTTTTCTACTTTTAAAACTGCACAGAAACATGTGACTCATCTATTTTTCTGAGTGCACTTTGACTTTACTTTGGGTAAGCGTTCTATATAAGTGTGAATATCTACAGCAGAGTTAAAGCAGTTTTACAGTACTTTGATATATTTTGATATTCTTTCCACTTCTGTTAAAAAGTGAGACACACTGGCTACTTCGGCATGTTTGCAACTTTGTGTCCTTACGTGCCTCCTCGCCTGTGAAAAGTGTGCTAGGGCACGTTGGGCCT